TTACATAGTCAAACTATGTAAATAATGAATCACTGAATATGATTAGACGAAATCACAGAGGTACAAACTATGTTAGATATTTACGTGGTAAAGGAGTGTAGTTTCCTGATAGGTCTAAACAACGTCATCAGTTACCAAATCAATTATTTTTACTAGTTTTAGTCATACAATTGTTCTCATTTAAACTTGCGCTATTATGCTAATTCAACCTAGGGCAGATGTAGTTCCCACAATATATCTATACTTACACGAGGAGAGCGTGGTTTCGGTGATTTTGTAAAGTAAGAAATAATAGATGTAGAAAGAAATGTGTAGATTTTGAACTTTTTTCTTTTTTCATTGATTTACTGTGTTGATTATGCACCACAGTGCTTTGTACTGTAATTATTTTCTGCCATTATGAAAAATTCATTGCCAATATTTCTTTCAAGGTCCCTTGCATTATTTTGCGTGTACTAATATGTACTAGGTGTACAATGCAGTTGTCTGCTTGCAATTTTGAGCGGAGCTATCATAGTACTGTAATCCAATACTTTTGCAAAGTCAATGCTAAATATAGTTCACGTAATTGAGATGTCTCCTACAAGTCCACTAAGTCAATTGTATAATTGTTTCTCATAAATGGGATGACTACTTGTAGTATCCAAAGTCAATGCTTTATCTGTTTCTCTTAAATGAAATCTCTACTTGCAGTATCTAAAGTTAATGATAAATCTATGCTAAAACTATTGCCTTGGGTGTAGTACGCCAGTGTCACGGTGATAACGGCGGGAGTGGTCGTGGTAGGCACGGATGAGTCGTTGTTCTTGCAAGGCTGTTTTTTGCCTGTCTTCTGGCTCAGTCAGCACTTACACCATCGGGAAGAGATAGTACATCCAAACTAACAAAAATAGGTTCCAAGGACCCATATTAGATTTAATACAATTGGCGGCAAACGTTATTGTTGATTAGTATGTTAAATAAGGCCGTCGACACACAGGAAGACTGTTTTCCAACTGAAATCGGCAACCAGTTGGACAAACTAGTCGCCTTCGTCCCGACCAATGTAGTTAGGTGGGACAGTACACACGGTGCGACTGCGATGCGACCAGTTGAGGACCAGTCGGCGATCAGTCGTTAAGCAACCGGACCTGCCGGTTGCTAGGTGATTTCAGTCGCCTGGTTTGAACAACTTTTCGCATATTTGTATTGCGCTTTTCAAGGATCAGATATACCAACTGCGATAACTCTTCGTAAGCACTTTTTGACATCCTGTGTACATAGACTGAAATTTTGCGTCTGTTTCTTGTAATGCAGCAGCAGCTACAAAGAGCCTGCATTAAATATTTGTTTTAACATAAGGATGTACCCAACACCTTCTACTCTACGCTTTCTTGATTGTTTATAAAACACCAGGGCTTCTTCATCACTATTACTCATTTCAAACACCATACACAGTACACAGTATCGTTATAACAAAATTAGAACTCATTCACTGTCTCAACTCAATTATAGTCGCGCCCGTGTGCAGATTTAACCAACGCAACTGCAACCGTAATCGCGTCACAAAACAGTTGGTTCAACTTTAGTTGGGTTTCAGTCTTCCCGTGTGTCGACCGCCTAACAATAAAACTGTTGTAGGAGTTTGTTCCTAACCGTAGGTGCTCTGTATAATATTTAAATCGCTAAAATTATACCCCAACAATCAACGTTTACAATCGTGATACGTAAACAAATGATCCAATAATATGTAAGCCGAAGGATCGTCGTAAATTAATGTCTTTCGTGTAATACAACAATATGATAATAAACAATGTTACTATATCACTAATAACGTGTACGTAGACCGTCGTAATTAGGCTCAAATTAAAATATAATAATGCAATGTCAGTATTAAACAATCTTAATAATTGTGCGTAACAATATTGCTGTACTACAGAGAAACAAGGGTTTTCGAGTCGCTGTTGAATAATAGGACAACAAGAAATTTAATAATAATACGTTAATGAATACTATTACTATTAAACAGTTTCAATCCCAAATATTTTACGGGCAAGCAAGTCGGTTGTATTATGCAGAAATAAAGCCTATAGTAGAATTATGAACGAGGAAACTCAAATAGTAAACCGCACGAATACCGTTATCAAACAGCTGATTGGGCCCCTCTTATCTCTTGCCCATTCATCCAGAGTACAATTGACGAGCTTAAACAGTGTACAGTACATTTCTTTTTACGTACAGGTCTAGAAGGGTAGGTACAGGTCGACTAGCATTTACAATTCTCACCAAATATTTGGTAAACTGAATGATAACTGAAAGATAACTGAATGCTCTGACATGAAGCAGTGTTCTTCTTTACCTATAAAACAAGGTTGACACCTTTCTTCACTGATCACGTAATGCGTGATTTTCTATAAAGTCTTGGAAAAATAAAAGGAAAAATAGATAGACTACAGGTGTACTGTATGTGGTTTACACACAAATATTCATCAAACTGTGTGATAGTTTGTTATAGCAATGAACAGTTTGAGAGTACCTATCGTATTGTTTAAGTCGATGGAAAATCTCTGTTGATCCTGTTTTACAAGCAAACCAAAAAGATACAGTAGTCACCACTCTATGCGACATATTCTAGCCAGAATATTGTAATCGTATGATTCTATAAGCATTGGTAGGATTGCAAAGTACTACACAAACATTATTTCAAGGGTAATAACAGTCACAATTTCCGCTGACTTTAAAAGAGCCAACTAAACTATTATACTAATGGACACACAACTAAATGGAACAACTAATGGAAATTCTCACGATGTACATTCGTTCGATATAAGCATTGAGTATACACGTCAGTACATACGTGTATACCCAATGATATAAGCAACGGTTCTTGCAATTTATTGCTTATTGTTTTTTAGAGTTGTTTTCGGACTTACTCACACTCGTATAAGGTTTTCCACGTTTGTCATTGATAATGTAGCCATGTTGCTTTGAAATGGCGACCATACAAAATGTATGCATTTTAAGCCAAGTATGAATGGAGATGAGTGTGGGATGAGCGGAGCGATCTTGTTGTCCTGTTTGTGACTAAGGCCGACATAATCCTTAGACACAGCTGTTAATTAATAGTGCATACAGTCAATTAATAGCAGCAGAGGTCAAGTTTGGTATCAAATTAAAGGTTTTATTCATAAAAATACATTGCTGCAAACCCAAACTCAAACGAGGATGATGATAATAACGTTAATGATGTCGCTAAAACGTATCGTTTGAAATTTAACAGCTGAAAATAAGTGAAATAGAAAAGGTTTTGGTTAAATCCATCAAATTGTAATTGGACACTAGTAAATACTAGTGCACTTGTTGCTACCTCCCCCCTTCGGTTTCATGTATTCCTCTCAATCAGTTCAAACCTAGGAGGATTAAACATTAATGTTAATTAATGTTAAATCCTCCTAGATTCAAACCTGAAACACCCAGATCGAAACTCGCCTGTCGTTATTTTACCATCGCCTGTTTTTTAAATATATTTTTCAAAAAAGAAATATTATATTGATTTACTTTGGTTTTTAAAAATGTTAACGTTTTATTTTGTTAAAGATTTATGGTGATACGTAAATATTGTGGTGTAGTAGAGTATATTATATTGTAGTTAAGTGTTAAATTTTGAAATTTTAGGGTGAATCGAGATGAATCTTTGTTTATAACATGGGTCTCTCCTACCTTAACATACATACCAAGTTTGATAAACATCGGTTGGAAAAGTGCAAAGATAAATATTTGTATGTAAAAAATACAAAATGGCGGATATCTGGTTAACGAAATTATTTTGGAAAAAATGTTATCCTTGATCTGTTTATTTTGACCCAAGGAATTACTAGGTAAAGTATCTCCCCGCTTATTTTAACACCCTGTTTATGATGTATTCTTATAAGTGAAAAATGTTAGCTGGTAATAAAGAAAGATGTTTTATAAATAATATGAATGTACTGGTGATCTGTATATTCACCTTTTTCTTGTCCTTAGATAAATTAAATTAGATAAATTAAAAGTCCACTCAGCAGTCGCATCGTACGATGTAGTTCTTTCCATGCGTTGCGAAATGCTACATTTGCCGTCCTCTTCAACCCAAGTTATCTACTGAACCACTGATTGTAAAAAATTCAAAAAAATATATTTTACGCATTACACTTTTGGCTACAACTTTGCCACAGACAAAACCTCTCTAACCCAAAAACAAAAAAAAATCTCGCATGCTAACTTTTTCATGTTAGAAATCACGATTTAAAACTATTTCACCATACAAATCATTTTTTATTAATTAGATCGGTAAATAGTTTAAAGTTCCAACAAAATAGTCATCGAGTAGGACTAACCAAGAAGCTCTGTGCCAAATTTCAAAATTTTAGCACAACTTTAAGAACACCAAAACACGAAATTATTGAAGACATGCGTCGAGAGGACTATCGTTGTTTTTAACAGATTATACTTTTGACCTTCCGGCACTGTTGACTCAGCGAAACTGAACTTATATTTTATCTTATTTCGTTATATTAAAACTGCTGTTGCATTAAGTCAAATTCCCAATAAGTCAATTGCTTTAAAATAGACTAAACTTTTAGCCCGGACTGTACTATTTGACTTTCTGGGATTTTTGATCTACAGACACTGCAAACATTGTAGTTTTTGACCTAGCGGCACAGGTTTAAATTATTTGACCTTCCGGGACTGTTGACTTTCTGCAACGCGTCCCTTAAAATTGGAATAGAAACCAAATTGGACTTATTATAACTTATTCTTTTTGATGACTTAAGAAATTACAATGAAAATTATTAAATTATTTTAGAAGGAGTTGCTTCACATTATATCATCAAAGAATCCATATAGTCCAATGTCTGGTCTCCTGACAACTGGTTACAGTCTTAAGTCAATATCCATGGAGAATGTCAGATGATTTTAGGGAAACTTATTTTAAACTTCTGTATTTTAAGCCTGCATTGTCAAAACTAAATAATTGTTTCCAGATATGGTGGTTGTGTCGCTGGCCAAGGTTAACACGGGCAATACCTGGTCTCATTTGACATCTTCTGAGAAGAAGGCCAAAGAGCCGAAACCCACTCCTAAACCTTCAAATGAAGGTGACCCGTCGTCTGGACTGATCGATTTGATGAAGCAGATGTACGAGGACGGTGACGATGATATGAAGCGCACCATCGCAAAAGCTTGGACTGAGAGTAGGAGCACAGGGGGCATGCCAAGCTTCTAAACTTAGGTAGGTCTGAAATACAGTAAGCCACAGAAAAAACCTAATAGAATCTGATTAATAGTCACAGGTTTCTCAACATCTACTAACCTACGGATTAGGTTAAATCCCATAACAACTTACCGTCAAATTAAAATCCTTGTCTTATTATTCAAATTATGGTTTGACCATCAGACTAATTTAATCGTTGCTAAATAACACTTAATCTGAGCAAATAGTTTTAGTTGATTTAAACTATTAATTTAATAGACTTTTGAATTTTTAGCGTATTTCCCTATAGGGAAGTAGCTATTACCGTAGGTCTCATGGTAAGACCTAAGCCCGGGACCGATTTACTTTTTCATTTTGATGTCCCCAGAGGCCAAAAACACCATTCGTTCAAATTTTTATATATCTATATATAGAGATATATATATATATATATATATGTGTCCATCCGCACGATAACTTGAGTAATTTTTGTCCGATTTTGATAAAATTTGGTTTGAAGGTGTAAGGCGGGATAAACTTGAACGAGTTCGCGAACCAGCATGATCGGGCTATGGGAACGGGGGTTTATGGGGGGTTTTATGGGGTAAAAACAGGTTTTTCCCATTTTTGACCCAAAAAACATAAAATTTTGCAAAATCTTTCCAAACCATTTTGTAGAGCTTAAAAAAACAAATAATTTAGTATATTGAAGTGTTACTATGCGCCTAATGGTTACGGAGAAAATTAAAAAAAAATGTAAATTTTTAATTCCCATGTTATTCTTATGGAGAACAAGTAAACTGTTGTAGTTTGCTTGTTTATGAACATATTTTGATCAAATTTGGAAAATGTTTTTATTTCTTACTAACTATTAACATTTTACAAAAAAAGCAGTTTTACCCTCCCTGATGCAGCAAACCTAAGTACCTGTTAAACTAATTCTATTTTAATAGGAAATAAATGTTAAATTTTTAAGTAGACATTTTAGTGTAAATCAAATCAGGCAAATGGAAATTCGCTTAGTCTGCAGGTTTGCTGCGGCGGGGGTATTATTTTAAATAGTTTTCATAATATCAATCACATTTCTACCCGTATTTATTGCAGTAGTATGCATGTGGGGGTAAGTAGGCCTACTAAATATCCATTTTTGTATTTTCAGGTCATGATGTGAGCAATAATTTGGCCTCCTCAGCCATTTAACACCAAATATCCATCTCGGTACAGAAGTTTTCGGTGATTTGCATTTAATTACAGTTTTGTTATTTTTATTATATTCTCTGTTGGCCTAAATTGTAATAGCTTTGATATTTTAATGTAAGCAATATTCCAAAAAGTATAGATAGTGTTGGGTTACCTAAATTCTAATTTTTTTGAAGGAGGTAATCTGTTTTTTTTTCTGTAATTTCAAATTTTTTGTATAGTGTTAGAACTGCTGAAATTATAATTGTATTACTACTAAGTTAGTACACCACAGTCCCAATCTGAACCCTGCTAATCCAAAAATAACAATACCATTCCTAGGTACTATTTCAATACCATTGTCATCAAACAAAATGTTACAGCAAGTTTGGTCAGGTTAGCTTAGATTGTTATAGGCCTAACAGTTCCTTTTTACTTTAATATATATTAAAGTAAACGATATATTGTGAAAACCAAAGCCAAACTAACCAAATGGCGTGGACTACTGGAACTGGATATCCAAATCCATCATGGCCGCTACCTGTGACATTTAGCTGTCTAGAGTTTTCTTGTTTCTTAAACTATCGTTATATTAATAAAACAACTTACCAATTAGTGTGAGTCAAATACTCACTTTAACTAACTTATCAATCAAAAATTGATAATTATGTAATGTTTTTAGTCACAAAATTGTTTAACAAATTTTAACAAATAGGTAGTTAGTAGAGCTACAAAAGTTTAAATTACTGTAGTTTAGTTAATTTTTGTGAGCTCAGAGAAATATTTTCACCGTTACTTTCAGGTAAAAATACATTGTTTTATTTACCAATCTGTACAATTTAGTAATCTGAATAGGTCCAGTTTCAATTATTTGTGTTAAGTGGGACTCTGGTGTAAATATAATTTGCGTGAGTTATAGTAAGCTATCAGTTATTTTGTACTTTGTTAAAAAACAGTTTGTAACAAATGTGGTGTAAAATAAACTACTACTTAAACTGATGTTTCTTATTGTATTATCAAACCCTGACAACCATTAGTAGTGAGTCGGTGGCGTCACGGACTTCGGGCCTAAGGCAGCGATGTCGTGGTTTCTGATCCTGGTCACTGCCGTAAACAATTTATCACTACAGATCACCTTTGTACTCTACCGGCTAACTCCTTGCTTTCCTGTATGATCCACGTACGGGCAGTTAGTCTATGTGGACGGGCAAATGCAAGGTTAAAAGAGACCGCCAACCTCTTTTAAAAAGTATAAAATATTTTTGAAAGGTTGGAAAGAAACTTAAACACAAACTTACAAAACTTAAACTCTTGTCTACTTTTATAGGTTAAAGGACAAAGTTGAGTTTCTTCAAATATATTTTGCTTTTAAAAGTAAACCAACCGGTTTTTATTGATACAAATATTGTATACAGTAAATAAAAAATTATGAATTTTGAAATAACATGTTCCCTACTAAGCAACTCACTCTGGTGAGTCTTAGGTCATGGGAAGTGAAAGTATTAAATTATTATGACTAGAGTTAGTCTGGAAAACAGTTTTTTTTTATACTGTTAAACGGAGAAGTCGTTTTAAATTTTACTTGCATAAAGTTAAAACTTCTTTAAAAAATTTTCAATTTGTAAAATGTAGGAAAAATTCAACTAGGTAACCAAAATAAAGGGGGCTAGACTTTTTACATTACCTATTTTTGGTTAATTAGTGGTTTAAAATTAAAGACTATTTTGGTTCAAAGTGTACAACCGTTGTTTTAATTCCTGTCTTCTTAAAACCTACTGTAGAGGAAAAACATTTCTTAAAATAATAGTAATAGGCAGTTGTTTTCTGAACTTTATCTGCATCACTATAAGATCCATGTTGTATGTTCCGTTACCTACGTTGGCTAAACCACCTCTCATTGCCTAGATAATTTTCCTATTTGAATTTTTTATTACGGTTTCAGCTAACCCAATGCTAACCCAGGTTTTGGTCTAAAAGGGTGCATATAAAAGGGTATTTATTGTACATGTACAGGGTTAGTAAAAAGTGTGGAGACCCCCTGTTATTTTTTTAACGGCCCATACTAGAAAAACTAAACTCGGCACACCTTTATAACACGTTATGAAGTCCTTTTTGTCCATAACCGCCACTTGATGTACGTCCCCAAAATGGGGGATTTAGGGGGAAACTCAAAGATTTCAAACACAAAGACCCATCGAGTGACCTTTTTGGCATGTTATGAAGTACTTTTTAAGCCTAATAGCTACTTGGTTCCCAAACCCAAAATGGGGGCTTATCTTAAAAGTTTTGAGTTTCCCTCAAAATCCCCCATTTTGGGTTTGGGAACCAAGTGGCTATTCGGCTTAAAAAGTACTTCATAACATGCCAAAAAGGTGTGTAAAGTTTAGTTTTCCTAGTGTAAGCCGTTACAAAATTACAGGGGGTCTCTAGACTAGGAAAGCTGTAAGTTAAATTTAACTTCTGAGAATTTCAATTGGCTGAAATGTTTTACTGGATTGAGATAGAGACCTCTAGTTTGCGTTGTTGGTTTTCTTTTACCAGGACCTTCAAAATGAGGGGTCACTCGATGGGTCTTTGTATTTAAAATTTTTGAGTTTCCCCCAAAATCTTTCATTTTGGGGATGTACACCAAGTGGCGGTTATGCCCAAAAAGTACTTCATAACATGCCATAAAGGTGTGCCGAGTTTAGTTTTTCTAGTATGGGCCGTTAAAAAAATAACAGGGGGTCTCCACACTTTTTACTAACCCTGTATAATACAATTGTTGTGTGCAGACACCGGAGAAACTCTTTATTAAAAAATTCAAAACAAACAATGATGGTTTGTATAAAAAGTATATTCATAATTTAGTCATAGATGATTACTTTTATAAAAACTGGACACACAAAAACCTCTGTTTCCTTTGAGCAAAAAGGTAGTTCCTTTGATTTTAAAGGGCTAAGCAGCTGGGGATCGGAGTGTATTCAGGATTTGCATCATCGGATTGTCCAAGATGGGAAAATCCGTATTGAGGGATTCCACGATGGAAACCAAATCGGAGTTGACAGCTTTTTGCTTCTGTGTTTCCAATTCCAAAGCACTCTCTTGTCTGTGTTGCAGACTGTATCGGCCGGCTTTGAGTTCTCCGTACTGCCTTGCCTTCCTCTGCTTCCGTACAAGCATCTCCAGGTTCTGAACAAACATTTGTTAGAATTAGTGAAATCGTTATGACGAGCCTTCGAGAATGGACCGTAAGGTCTGTGTTTAATAGGGGTGTTAAACGTCACACACATACTACTTTGTCTAAAGTACTATAAACAAACTAATCATAATCGGTTCAAGCACTGCTCGGTTCATACAAATGTGTTACTGAACACTTAGTTGGGCTGAAAGTCTAAATTCATCTCATTTGACTAATTAAGAAAATCAAACAATTGGTTACATTTAAAGCATGGACATTTCTATTTACTGCTGACCCCTGGCAATACAGCTCCAATATGCAGGAAAAATACAGTTTCCGTAGCTTTATAACAAAGAGCAGAGTCTTGAGAGAGAGTCAATAAATTTACAGAGTATTCATATACCCGACAGTTTTATTCAAAGATATTGTCAACAAATAGTGTATATACTAAAAGTAGCAGGAAGACCAAAGAAGGTGGTGGGATCAAGTCCGGAAGGATATGGAAAAGATGAGACTAGTAGGGGAAGATTCGGAGGACCAAGAGAACTGGCGACGTGTTGGCAAGGCCAAGTACCAGCTTGGGTACAAGTGGCCATGGCAGTAAGCAGCAAGTACTAAAATAAAATAGTGTTGGACTCCCTAACACAGAGTAAAACCTGTAAATCTTTTGTGTAAAAGTTTGTTTTTGTGACTTTGATTGTTCGTGCCTTGATTGTGCTTTGATTGTTGTTTTGTGACTTTGATTGTTTGTCCCGTGTGCCTTTCATTTACTGTGGCACACTGTCAGCAGGGTGAGTTTTTTTGTCTTAGAATCCTAGACTCCAGCCCAGGATTGATTCCCAGATTGGCCAGATTACTTCAGGCTAGGTATAGGGAGGGGTTGAAGCGTTATTACTTAGATAAAATCCATTGGGGATTGGCAGGATTTGAACCCGGGATCTCAGCGACCAAAGTCCCTACCACTCCAGTTTAATCCCCACAGCAAGGTGAGTTACCTTTTGTCTATGCAGCTGTCCCTCGGCCAGTTGTGCCTGCATCTGAGCCACAGCTGTTTGTAACTCTGCCAGCTGATTCTTCTTCATATCCTCTCTCTCGGCAAGACCGGTCAGGTGTTCTTCTGAAGTACCAATAGACTTATTGACTGACTTCAACTCCTGCACATCCAGAAAATTTTAATCCCCTAGACTACACAGTCTTCATGTAGCCTAATATTTGATTTTGATAGGTTTTTGTTGGATCGAGTTTAAACAAAAGTTTCTTAAATTATTTTACCTACGACTGTTTTAAATATAGATTTTACCATCACGGCATTTGATTTAGGAAATATGACAACCTCCTATTTGCCTTTTTATTGTTACTAAAACAATTAAAGTTATTCTATTTTTAAAATCAAATACTCACAGAGTTAGTTTGTTTTATCTTGGTCTGTAGATCGTCCAACTTCTTTTGGAACTGTTGGCGAGTGTAAAGTGCTCTTCTGGTACTGCGTTTCTCCCGAGCTTGGGCAAGTTCTACGATTCCATCTCGCCTGGAGATGCACATTTCCATGTCGTGTGCCAGCTTTTCTTGCACTTTTTGCAATTGTGCGTAGCGAACCTGAAAAAAGTTAGATACATGACATTGTTTGTTTAACCAAATGTATGTTCTGTTTTTTTTTTTAGAATTTTGGCATTTGACATTTGATAATAAATAAGTTTTTCTACACTTTTACACCACATTCCAAGAAGAATAAAGAAACCTTTACTAAACCTGCTCAGTAATTAAGATAAATGAAGTATGCCTAAATACAAATCTGTGCAGCATGTTAAAAAACACAAAACACAAAACTGTTCTATCATAACGTTTGATTAAGTTGATTATGATTCTGTATAGACAATCTTTCACTTAGGGTTTGAAGAAAACCAACACGTTTGATAATCAATGGATGACTATGGATTTAAAGTTCAAACACAAAACTGAAAACCTGTAGTCAATAACCAAGTTAAATTAATTAACTGTAGAATTAGTGTAATATTACAGTATTAAATTTCTTAATTACAGTTCTCTTTAAAAAAATGCCTAATCCGATTTATAATTTCACTATCATCACAAACCATAAATGGATTATTGGACCCTTAACACATTCACTACCGTCTGGAGACTATATTATACAAAGGTGTGATATATATTATACATAGGCAGTGAGCCTGTTAAAATGTAAAATACCCCCGTCGCAGCAAACCTGCAGACTAAGCGAATTTCCATTTGCCTGATTGGATCTACACTAAATTGTCTCGTTAAAAATATCAAATTTTTCCCTATTTAAATAGAATCAGTTTAACACATACTTAGGTTTGCTGCAACAGGGAGGGTAAAGGTATTTTTTTTTCATGTAAAATGTTAATAGTTAGTAAGAAATAAAAACATTTTCCAAATTTAGGCAAAAAATGTTAATCAACAAGCATACTACAACAGTTTACTTATTCTCCATATAAATAACATGGGAATTTTAAATTTACAATTTTTTGGAATTTACTCCGTAACCATTAGGTGCATTATAACGCTTCAATATACTAAATTATTTGTTTTTTTAAGCTCTACAAAATAGTTTGGAAAGAAATTGCAAAATTTTATGTTTTTTGAGTCAAAAGCCCATTTTTACCCCATAAACCCCCGTTACCATGGTCCGATCATGCTGGTTTGCAAACTCGTTTGAATAAACGTAGGTTTACACGTATGTACCAAATTTCATCAAAATCGGATCGTTTTTGCTCGAGTTATCGCGCTAACGGACACATATATATATATGAATTTGAACGGATGGTGTTTTTGGCCTCTAGGGACCTCAAAACAAAAAAAATCGGTCCCGGGTCCAGGTCTTAACATGAGTACTACGGTAATAGCTTATTCCCTATATGGGAAATTCGCTAAAAGTGCCAAACATAGTTTGGTCCAAAATAGTAACTCAAAAAGTGATGAAATATCAAAATTCCTGTGCAACACAAGAGTGAATCTCATTCACACTATATTACCTCCATGCGGTGTATTTCTGACTTCATCACAGCAATCTCTCCTCCATCGGCTCGTGCCTTGTCTATGCTACACTTGACTTCTGTCGCCATCTGTAGTTTTCTCTCCCACGCCAGCAGATCTCGCTGAGCCTCCACGATGCGACCTCTCATCTCCTCCTTGTCAATCTCCAGATAGCACATCTCCTCTTGGAGAGTCAGAGCTCTAACTTCAGCATCCTGAGATATAATAAATCTGTACTTAATCATCAGAACGGTAGTTCAATCATGAGAATAGTTAGTTGATTTTTTACGTTGATCATTAGGTTTCAATAAATTATCCTTCTTTAAGTAGCAGCTTCTCTTTGTAATAAAGATATGTCATCTACATTCTACATCCACCATACAATAATTTCGAAGTACATCACTGTTCTTATAAATTAATTAAATAGGCAAACATATTACTGGGATTACAAAAATAATCAAAAGGTCATCAAGGTTAAATTATATCTAATCAACATTGCATCATAATATTATTACATCATTATCAATAATACTAACAACTGAAATATGATAAACATAGTGGGAAGGGTCCTTGAGGCTCAGGTCAATGTAGGACTGCTGTTGGTGGACACAGTTATCCTGATGATGATGGAGGATGAAAGTAATTGGAGCTGTTTGCCACAGTTCGTCCAGGTTACGCTCCGTGCCAAGAAGCTCGACCCGTGCTCAGGATACGGTTTAGGTCTTAAAAGCCTGTATCACCAGAACCAGTGTTCTTAGGACTTAGGTCACATGTTTACCTGACCAGAAGAAATGTGAATTACAATTCCAGATCTATGTTTTACAGAGTAGATTTTTTTAGTTAGTAGTGTGATCAATTCAGGAGTACGGTATCACACTACATGCTGGCCAACTGTTTGCGTGGACACTGGTTCCCTCTTCTTCTTTAAATATTTATAAATATATAGTATATTATATAGATATAGAAAAGAATTTCATTCATTGGACATCTTTTAAGGACACCGAAAAATAGAATAAGCAAGAAAATAATTGACAAGTTGTGGAATAGCAAGAGTGACTTTAGGTGGATTACAGAGATTAAGGAGGACATGCGAAGGTTGAAAATATCATTAGAAGATTTGGAAAATAAGTCAGAGGCGCTTGCAGTACTCAAAGACAAAAATATCATCCTGCCAATATGAGCAAACAATCAGAGACAAGGATGAGTGGTTTCGGAAGAAGAAAGAAAACAACGGTCGGAAAGAATGAAGAAGTATTGGGCGGACAAGAAGAAGAGACAGAATTAAAAAAGAACCTGACCATTATATTGACTTAAGTGGTCCAATGCTGGCCATAAAATAATAATAATAATAATAGTAAACATTAACACAATGTTGATTGATTGATTGATTGATTCTGTAGGGGCGGACCTTGTCCTGTTGCACGTCAGCCACTGATGGGCTTTTTGCGCTCCCCACATGGTACTTCAGAGTCCGTCAAACCTGAGTTGCTTAATGAACTCCAGCATCCTGTCAATGAGCTCCTCCTGAGGAAGGTGTCTGCCCCTTGTCATTGCACCAAGAGTACTGACCCTTACCTCATTCAGAGCTGTGCAGTCGTAGAGTAAGTGATCAGCAGTCTCCTCTGATAGCCCACATTTCCTACACGCAGTGTCACCATTGTGGATCCTCAAGCGATGCAGGTGTAATTTCAGGAAGCCATGTCCAGTGACCATTCCTGTGATCTGTCTGAGTCGCCTCCTGTCTAAACGTAGGGCATTGGAGGCGACCGTCTGGGAAGGGGAGAAGAGGGTGAGCTTACTTACCCACAATGTTATGCTTACCTTCAAATCACAGATAAGCTGGTTCTGAGCCACCATATTCTGATTGTCTAGGCTCTCCTTGTAGTCCTTACGTTGGCTGCACTGCAGGTTCAAGTTTGTGAGTCGTTTTTCCAGCGAACCAATCAGTCTCTTCATGTTTGTCTCCTCTTTCTTCAAATGCTCGATCTCAAATTCAGTCTTCAACTGTTTTTGTTTCATCACCAGTATTTCTGAAATTAGAATACTAAATATTTTTCTGATACCAATGAGTATGGCCAAATCTAGGGATTATTTTTAGATACCTAACACACGGTCTACATCCTTGTAGAGCCGACTGTTTAATGACTCTTGCTCTTAAAAAAATATTATTAGAAAATTTTCATTAAAATACACGAATGTAAACTACATCAATGTTCATTTTACATAGTATAATATTCAAATTGAAGTAAAATCTTTGAAACTTTGTTTCACACTTTTATAAACCCTTCAAATCTTATACAAAACTTATTAACTTAGTTAATAATGTGTATGGTCCTGAGTAGATAAATGTTAAATGAATGAGATGACGATGACACCTTAATTACCGACTAAGATCAGCTGTTTCTCTAACATCCATCTATTAAAAGTCCAATAATCAAGGACAGCTGGGTCCAGTTTTGAACCGTTTTCTACTTTCTTCATGATCGAACTGGCAATCTTCCCGTTACTAAGCGAGCATATACGTTCACCAAAATGGACGTAAAGTAGCTGACTTAATGTTTACATGTTTGTTAATTTTTTTAAATAAGATAAACTTTACATTTTAAGAGTTTTTACTTCAGTGGGCATAACAAGACCAAAGCGTTTTCAGTTTTAATGGAAGAAAGCGTGTGGCTGATTATCTATGTTAGCAGTTGTGGAGTGACTGTGGCGAGTAGGCCGGGGACTATGGTGTTGCCACATTGTTGGGCTTGGCCTTGTATCAAATTAAACGTGTTATTAAACGGATTGAAATGCAATTTTTAACTCTAGGGGTTCAAAATGTTCACTAGCCTTCAGCTAAACATCTAGTCCTTACGTTTATGGTAGATGGTGAGCTGATTAAGTAGATTGTTCCGTTGTTGAGTGAGAGCTACGATCCGACTCTGCTCCCTCATCCAGGACGTGTGAAGCTCCTCAATGTTGTTGACCAACTCTGTCAGCGTCTTCTCTAGACACACCAGCTGCAGCTCGTCTGGAGTCAAGTTCTCCGCCTGGCGTGAACAACAATTTTAAAACGTGAGCAATTTAGTAAAGGAGAATACTGTGAAATAAAAGGTTTAGGAACCTGGAAGTTCAGATATAATCGTGACAATGATAAGAAGTAGGGGAATTTGGGTCCAGCTGAGATGTCTACTTCAGTGTCCAAAAGTGAATAGTACTCATAATTTAAAATATTCCGGTAAAAAAAGTTCAAGGAACTCAATTAAAATCTCAAACAACAATGACATATTTTCTAATTTTAAAACTTCTGTAAGTAAGATTAAGATTGTCCCATTAATTTCACAATTAAATTTTACATTTCACTTTAAATATCCATACTTTACCGGTGTTTTCTGTGAAAGTTCAACAAGACGAATGTTAATCGTGTCGTTGTAGCTGCGTTTCCGACCAATCAATGTATAAAGACGTTTCAGCCCCATCTCTGACTCCTTCAGTTCTCTATCCCTTTTGATATCATCTTGCTTCTCTTGGTCCAATATTAAAGTATTCTCTTTAATAAGTTTATTCTCTTGCTCGATTAAAAGAAGCACTTTAGCAAGTTCATTTTGAGCGCCTGCCAACTGTGATTCCTAAAAAATCATAATTCATTTTAGTAATTTTTTTTACAGAAAATTACATTTTTTGGATTAGCGTGGCAGCTCATTCTCCTACTTTAATTCAAATAAGTGGCTGTTACCACTTGACGAAATTTAGGGAATCACATATAGATGATTCGTGATTCTACGATAACTCTCACTGTCTTCTATTCTAATGTATAAAGTTCGGAACAAAGTTTATTAATTTGCTTCAGTACTCTAATTATGGCTTTTTGTTTATGCAATGAAGATTAAACAAATATTTTAAGGCAGAAAGTCTTGATCTCTATTCAGGCTAAGTTTTCTTCATATTTTGTATGGCAAGATACAATGGGTAAAAGCAAAACAGGAGTAACAATAACAGGAGCAGAAACCCTCAACCTCTTTCCCTCACTGAAACTAATAGCACACAAGCCTGTTAATACACAATATTTATTTTTGTGCTAAAATATACATTTCAATAGTTTAAAACTTCCAAAAACGTTCTATAGTATGAGGGGTCCTGGAAAAATGACATTCTGCACCACTCAATTCAAACCTATTTTGAAGGATTTTTATATTATGTTGAAAAAATATTTTTACTCATCTTCCTCTTCTTTTAGTTTGTAAACTAGAATTAGAAAACATCAATAAATTTCTCAAGGATCATAATTTATTTTTGAATGTAGGAAAAACTAATTGTATTAATTTTAAAACAAAACAAAACAGAAATAAGAGAATACCAGTGATAGATTTGAATTCTCAGCAAATTATAACAAAACCAAATGCTCAGTTTCTTGGCTTAACTATTGATCAGCATTTAGATTGGAATAACCATATGAACAAAATTTTACCAAAAATTAGTTCTGGAATATTTGCTTTGAGGAAAATGTCCTTTTAAGGTAATATTGAAACAATGCGTAAAATCTATTTTGCATACATACATTCCCATATTGCTTTTGGGATTTGTTTATTTGGAGCAACTTCAAAAATTAATCTTGACAACATATTAAAAAAAACAAGAATATGCAATTAGAATAATGCTAAAACTACATCGTGATGCCTCTGTGAAAAAACACTTTGTTGAACTCAATATTTTGACAGTCTACGGACAGTATATTTTTGACTGCATTTTAATGGCAATTAAGAAAGCTGATTCTTGTCCTTCAGATTATATTTCAACCCTTCATAAATACAATACTCGACATAAAGACTCCATAATAACATATAAACATCAAACAAAATTTTTTGAAAAGAAATAATGAATAAAGAAGTTTGAATTGAATTGAATTTAAACACATCAATAGTGTATAGATTACATATTAAATTCTAGTTGTAAGATTTCCTCACCAGTTTCCGAGCGTTGGCGCGGTGACTGTTGATCTTTTTTGCGCTTTGTTTCTCCGCTTTGCTCAGAACCACTTGGTGATGCAACTTCTTCAACATTTGCTCTTCTAATTGATATTTGATTTGCATCAGTTTGTCGATTTCAATCTGTATATTATTGAATTTCACTTCTTTTTCTTTTGTGTCCTGAAAAAGAAAATCAAGTAAACGGTGGCGAATTTCAGATATAGTTATTTATCAATTGGAAATTAAATTAACTTACATTTTTTTTTACTGCTGAAGTTAAAATTATACATTCTTGTTGTTCCCTAGACCAAAACTATACTTACCAGTACTTTATCTTGAACATTTTGCTTTTGTGCCAATTTTGTGCCGTAGTCAACTGTTATTTACTTTCAAATTGAACAGCCTGGACACACTTCATATTAATTATAAGATGGTAAACTCATAATTATTATCGAGGTTATTTAAAGTATTATTGCGGAAATCGAACCACATTGTTTCTCTAGAGTAAATTTTACATAACTTTGCTATCAAAGTCAAATGATGTTCAACATTTTTCTCACACAAAACCTATCTGCTTTAAAACTACAATTTGAGGTTATAAATTTAAACCCTAATCTCTTCATCAAACTTAATTCAATCAATAATGTAGCATACAAACTAAAGTTTCTTTCAGCTGTGTCCTACCTGCATACACAACTTTCAATTGTTGCAGCAACATTACGCTAAGTTTTATCCCTCAACTCAAGAGGAGTTTGAGTTAAAACAACCAGACGTATTAGGTTATAAATGAGCTTACATTCTAAATCTTCCAACTTAACCATGACTTACGGCAGCAATGACGTTGACATCCCGTTGGGTGAGCTCGACCATGTTGGCCACCTGCACCAGGTTCTCCCGCATTTTCCGTTGTTTCTGCTCCTCCGCTGCGTTTACTCGCTCCAACATCTCCCTGTCCCCCTCCAGTCTGACCAGTGTGTGAGTCAATGTCTCGTTCTTCTTTATCTCTCCGCCACTAGAGCGTTTATAACTCTCCACCTGGCACACCAGTCGGCTGTACTGCTCTTGCGATGTGCTGCAACAATTTTGTAAATTTAAGATTTTCATGTTTACTTACGTTAAAAGAGAGTGAACTGGCATTCAATAAAGCATTAAAAAAGGTAGAGTTGTATCTGAAACTCTAGAATTTCTAATGAATAAAGAGTTAAAGTATGAACTTAGAACACTCTACAAAGAAGGCCTGCCGTTTAGTTTATGTCAGAATACGCTTTAAAACTACCCATATACTTATAAATAGGTTATAAATTGGAAATATTTTACTCAAGATTTGGACCTTATAGTCCTTCGCCAACCTGAGAGTATTTGAAAATTAGTCCAAAATATATTAAGGAATGTTCAGGGGCGGATCCAGGAAATTTGCAAGGGAAGGGTCTGGGGGGTATAAACTCTCTCGCTGCCGAAAATATTTTAAAATATAGGCTCTAAATACTATGAGGCTTTCCAGAGCACTTTTAAGTTTAAAAGTTCATATGAATCTTTGAAGCTGACAAAAACAATAATTTAAAATATATTTTTCCCCAAATTTGTTCTTAAGGGGGGATGGGGAATGTCTTGGGAGTGTTTGATGAAAGATACAAGTTATTGATGAAATAGGTCTAAACTATACCTAATGTTAAAATAAATTACAGAAGAGATGACAAAAACTAGCAATGGACATGCAAAAATTAAAAATTAAATACATTTTTTTATCGCAGCATTTTCGACAGGATGTCCTTGAGTCGGAACAAATACATGAACTTGATCCAACCAGAATCAACCAAAGCAACAGAAGGGGTTCACATTGAGTAGTGCATAGCATTTCCGATAAGAATGACATTCAATCTTTGGCGTATCCACAGAGAAGTAAGGTACAGAGGAAACTCACTTATGGGACATGCACTTTCAGCTCTAGTATGTTGTGCCAGAAATTTACTTGTGAAGAGCAAGGAAGAGCTCGAGCAGCAAAGAAAGGGTACAGAGTCTTCCTCGTTGTACATGATGGCGAGGGGAGCAGTGTTGGACACCAGTGACTAGTACTAGACACCACTTAACCCTTCCCGGACGGGTGACATATCCGCCTAAGTCTTTGGCAATAAAGACGGATGGTGGATATATCCGCTGATGGTTTTTGATGTTCCAGACGGGAAGCGGATATATCCGCCTTCTCATTAGACAGACTGGCAGGTACTTGAGCAGTAACCAGATGTTTCGTGGTAACAAGGCGCCACTTTCTTGCTCTCACCATGGCTGCGCTCTCTCCCGCACTCCCCCCCCCTCTCTCGCGCCTACATCTCTCCCGCGCACTACCCACCTCTCCTACGCTCCCCCCTTGACGTTTCGCGCTCAACACTACGTTGTCTTTATTTATTGTTTACATATTGTTCTTTATTTATTGCCTAACGTTGTCATGGTCATATCTTCAAAGACAGGTGGCGGATATATCCGCTGCTTTTCTACTCATCCGCGGATAACTACTATATCAGCATAGTTAAAAACGAGAAAAAAATTATTTTGACAGTATGAAGTGTTCCATTGTGTTTATTTAATGTATACTTGTACAGTAGAACCTCTTTAATCCGAACTAATTGGGACCAGGGGTAGTTCGGACTATTGAATAGTTCGGATTACAGAACATATTGTTGTTTTTACATAACAATAGCTAAAACATGGCTAAAATTGATCGAAATTATTTGGGGAAAGTGAAAAAATTGTTTTATAAAGTAAAATACAGTGTTTACTTAATAAAGTAGTAAACATGGTGAATAAACAGTACTGTACATTAAATACAGTACCTATGCAATAAAGAGCTGCTGTACTGTGTATAGAGTACAGCAATGAGGGGTTCGGATTACGGGGGTTCGGATTAAAGAGGTTCTACTGTATAACAAAACACAAATAAGGAAAATTAATTTTTATTTTTTCCTTTAATTTTTTCCCATTCTATGTCACGATTTCGTTCGTCCGGGAAGGGTTAAGTGTACCATTGAGTGTTTTCTCTGTACCTTAGTTCTCTGGGGCATGTCCGGCAATTAATTATAAATCAAACTTCTGTTGGTAACATCAAACCCATGACATGTAAGAGTTGAACTAACAGCAGCTGTGCCTTTATATCCACCATTATCCGATCTCTCTGTTGAATCTGCTGGATCACATGATTCCAGATCTGCATAAGCCGCTTATTCTCCCTCTCCAGACCTTCCAAGTCAGCGTTCCCATCAGCGACTGACTGAGACATCACTTCCACCTCCGACTGTTTTTGTTTTATGTTTTTTTCCAACTCCCCGAATTTGGTCGAAAGTTTTAAAACTTCAGAAGTGAGCGATACAAGGAGCAAATCCTGAAATAGATACTTTATGAAAATACTCAGGTCTACTATAGTCTGTTCATGAAATGTAGGCAGTTTGAGGGGAAGTTCCCCCACAACTTTTTCACTTAATGTATGCTGCAACTGATTGACAGGTTGAAAGAATTTTTGTTAATATCAGCTGTTGAGCTATTGTTTCAAGGTAGGGTCAAGTGGAGGGGATAGATTTCTTCCACTAAAACCAGCTGAATATTGTCTTTCAAAGATATGAGATAAAATGGAGTTTAGTTAGGTGGCCAAGTTAAAAGTTTGTAGATTGGTAGGGATCTGGTTGCAAATTCTAGGAAATTTTAAGTTTTTAAATTTGATTCTTTTAGTGTGTATACCTACGCCTGTGTCGTTTTTACGTTTTTTGTAAGGAAATATTAGGTCCAAACCCTTGTCTTGACACTAACAGTCGTCTAGTTTTGTTAGAAAGCATCATTTGATAGACCAATGATACAAACGGTAACTGAATCTACTTACGATCTCACTTGGAATCAATTTTAATTGTATATCTCTTTTATGAATACAATGGTGGCTATAATCTTACAGATTACACTAACGACTTTAAAATGCCTATATTGAACAAAAATAGTTGTTGAATGTAAAATACCACAAGTGTAACACTTTATTTCACAAACCTACCTGATAAATTTTCTCTTGAGTATAGACATGTTTGTTTGTTTGGGTTTTCTCTGATATCCGTTGCGCTATGGTTATTTCTGAATTTTGACTTTGTTCCCATTCCGAGAACTGTGTGATAAGTGCTGCCAAAGACTCTTTTTCCAAACGTAGTTCCTCTTCTGTGAAAAATATGTGTCTGTATTTAGTAAAACTAAGAGATGATGTATAGTAACCCAATTGATTGGAGCTTAACCAACCAATAAGTATAGTAAGCTCTTTATAATATAAAAAACACATATTTTCTCCCATCAGCATGTGAACAACCCTCATCATGGGTAAGCGATGGGAGTAACTATGATATTTTATGGGCAATATCACAAAAGTTGCAATAACTTGTGAATCGTAATTTTTAAACAATAATGGGGGTTGTACCACTTTTCAGAGTTAAAAGGGGTGTAATATATATTAAATTTTAAACAAAATAGTTTGGGCCTTTTTTTGAAAATCTGAATTGCCCTTATTTTTTGTGGGTGTTTATAGGAAGATTAAGCCATTAAAAATCAAAATGAAACCAAATACCAAACAGAACTGCCATGTACTACAATATTAGATTTACCAACCTTTGTTTATTTTACTAGATAGGTGAATAGAAGTCTCCTTGCACTTATCAATTTGTCGCTGCAGATCAGTTTCAATTTTCTCTCTATCAGTTATTACTTTCTCCGTCGTCTCCCTCTCTTTCTCCATTGAAATATTCTGGCGAAGAACAGCTTGTTGTTCCAAGTCTCTGACTTCAATACTTGTTTGGTATGATTTAGTGTCATCTTTCAGATTTATTTTCTGTGGAAATTTGTTTCTAATTAACAAACATAGCGATGATAATGTGCTTTGTATCTTAAACAGATAGTAGGTTTGGTAGAACTTTAGAATAGTTGTATTTTTAAACAAGACTCACCAGTGGAGTTATCAACCATCATCTTTTGTTAATCATTGAATTACTAATCACTTACAATAACCAAATCAAGAGGTTATTTAATAACCAAATGTAAACTAACTATTCACAATCTTTGTCTGTGTGGGGAAAATACAATTTGAAAATTTTCAAAGGACAAAAATCTTCACAGAAATGTTAGGTGGGTGTTGATATTAAACTACTAAATAAGTTTTACCAGCCCATGAACTACAAGTACCTATTAGCATATTCCTATTTAGATTGATAATTTTATGTAATGGCTTCTAAGAGGTAACTATCATCAGTAGGTTCTAGCTATGCAGTCAATAAGTTAACTTAAACAAACAAACATACCTGCTAAGCCCTACAATACAATCCTTTAAGTAATTTTTTCTTCATTGTTGTTATGAATCTATCTATATATTAATAGGCAAGAATGTTTCTTTAAAACCTTTTTTCTCAGCTTGTGTGCATCGTGGGGTGAATCTGCGCATACCGTTAGAAAGCAATTTTCCTGTAGGTGTGCAGAATCCCTTTATAAATTAAAATAGGCTCAAAGATAAGCACTAAAAATGAGTTTAAAAATTTGAAAAAATTAACATGGATCTTATGCGTTGCCATGCTGGTGACGAAATAACAACGAAATATAAACAGAAAATCAAAACAAATGGAAGAAACTCCAATCACATGTTTATTATTATTATTAAACAGGTAGGGCATTTATTAAACATGAATTTCCCCAACTATGTAGGATTAGGTGCAATGCACCACTTGATATTAGGTATGAAATACAATAGGTTCACCGGCCGCGGCGGGTGACATCCAAACCACAACTCAATGGACATGAGTTGTGGCTTGGATGTCACCCGCCGCGGCCGGTGAACTGTGTTTCGTGAACTGTTAGTAGTTTTGACCAAACGACGTCCATTGCACTGAAGATTTCAAAACTGGCCCGCCTGATGATGGTACAACTTTGTGCCGAAACCTAGGTCGCAACAGCCAACTTAATTTGAACTGGTGATTGAGGGTATTTAAAAACATTCTATTAGTTAAAATAATTATATTCATATAAACATCTGCAATTTCAGTTTTAAAACAACTCACAAGACCCAAAATTTCCTCATCAAGTTTTTTTCTCTGATTCAACAAGTGTGTTTGGAGTGCATTTTGGAAACGCTCCATGAGGGGATTGTCGGGCTGTAAGACTTGAGGCTCCACGGATGGCAAAGTTCTTGATCCACCACCATGATTACTGTTCTGTTCTGCTTCATTCTGGGGGTGAAATTCTCCCGAGCCTTCCTCCTCTTCAGTGTCTTCTGCCACACTTTCATTATTGTAAGGGTCGTTGTTTCCACTATCAATGTAATCCTCCATGACTTAAGTTATCAGTTCCTTCTAAAACAAGTTAAACATATTCAAATAATTGGGCTACATCAAATAACAATATTTTTTATGAACATTATATGAATCAAGTAGGTCTATAGGCTAAATAATATTTTTGCTACGAGAAAACTAGACATTTTGCAATTGGGCTATTTTGGGACATGAATTCATTGCTTTTGTAAACTATAGACTCAAAACAGCTTTGAAGCAATAAAATGTTATCAGACCATGTTTAATGAAATTGTTGAAGATATAAAATCCTATCTAGAAAGTCTGCATCTGCCGACTAATCGAATTTGCATTTGCCTGGATTGATTTTCAATCATTGTAATCTATTAAATTAACATTTATGTTTAACGAGTATAGCTGCTACAGGAAAACTAATAAAGTGTCTTTTATTAAAATATCAATAGCTTGGTATGAAATAAATAAATCCGCCAAGTTTGATCAAAATATATCCATAAACAAACCAACTACAACATTTTACAATATTCTCCATAAGAATAACATGGGAATATGAAATTAATTTTTTTTAAATTTTCTCCGTAACCAATCACCGTACAAAAACACTTTGATATACTAAATTATTTGTTTTTTTAATCTCTTTAATAAGGTCTGGAGAAAAATTGATAAATTTTGTGTTTTAAGAGTAAAAAATTAGAAAAACACATGATGATGCTGTTTCTCGAACTCAAGTTTATCCCGCCTTAAACCTTCAAACTAAATTTTATCAAAATTGGACAAAAATTACTCAAGTTATCTCATATATACATAAATACAATTTTGAACGAATGGTGTAATACAAATTGAGAAAAGATATGGACTAGAAAAACAGTGTAAATGAATAATATAACAATGACAACAGTGTGAATAAATTGAGAAATAGTCCCTTACACTAGAGTTTATCTAAACTCACTAGTTTAACTTACCTTAAGAAGAGACAGCACTAAAAATATCGTAAATAGCAAAGAAATTACATCAAAACAAAATTATTTCTTTACCACATTATCACCAAGTTCAAAACACCTCTCTGACAGTTTTCCAGTTTTGTTTTGACACTTATGTTTCCTGTTACCATGACGACGACAAGAGACAAACAGACAGCGACAGCTGAAGCAAAAATAATCTATGATATAAAATTACATCTGAAAATGGAAGTAAAATATTAGCATAGATAAAACATACTCCCTTAGGTTGCCGTTAGCTGTAATGAAGATTTAAATCATAATACATTTTAAGGAATAGTGTTTTAAAATTTTAAACAAGCTAGGTGACAGTAACCATTTTACCATGCGTAAACCATGTTGATTGTTGATTCATAACTAAACATACTTAGAAAGCCCCCCTTGATCTACATAGTTTTCTGCTTTCCCTCATATTTTACAAATAATCTATTCAATGAAGAAACTTCCATTACGTTATCTTATGTATCTTGTACAGTAGATGTGTCATCAATATGGCTCAGCTGAAGTTATTGGTCGTTCCGCCCGGTGCACTGTTACGGGTCTTGTTTTGTTTACAATTTATTTCTTGTGAGTCCAGTAATTTAAAACCTCGTTTGAACAAATAAAACGATCGAATCATAAACAATAATAACTCGTCCCCTAGTTACAATGAAACAGTAAAGCATGAATAAGTAAATAAACCCTAAAATAATAGAAGCACAATTTCGTCGACACTAGTGATCAGTGTCACCAACATGAACTACAGTAGACACAAAAAACGGCATGGGATGAGAAGTCTGCTTGTGTTGGCTAATCTAAATCTATGCTTGTACTATTAATCCTATTCGCCTCGCCTAACGGATTTTCCTTTCCTTTTACGCCTTGCTATTAATCTAATTATTCTTCAAATTATTTTTGAGCTACATGACATTTGCTCAAGCCAGCTGCTAACACAACTAAGATTGAGAAGAAAAAGAAAATATTTACTTAACACTACTTAACCTAAAAAAACTTATCCGAGGGCGACGGCCGACATAGATTGTTATTTATTATTATTACTAATCTTTCACTAATTAATTGTTTATTTCACGAAACCTATGAAGCGATCGGACTGAAATTAATATTAAAGCCTTGACTAGATAAAAAAGATTTTGGAATCGGTCATTGTATGGTATGTTACTAGAGCTATCTTAACCTGGCTACAACTACAACAGTACAACTTTAGTCTGTCTCTGTAGTTTGGTGAAATGTTGTCTTTTACAAAGACACTCTCCAGTTTACCTTCAAGTTTAAATTTTTGTGTTAAGTGTCTGACTACTTCTACGGTCAATCCTTCCATTAGAAAACGAGATAAGGATTACTGGCCTGGTGGCATAAAATGTTATGGATTTACATACTATCCTCGGTGAGTAGGCCTAATCCTATTTCGAAGGCATCTAAGTTAGTACCTTGTGATAGAGTGATAAGAAACGGGTTGTTTCTAGAGTTAGTGATGTAAATGTATACATAAAATTTAGTCGGCTGCACTTTACTTGACGTCCTACACTCATTCGGTTGGTTTTTTCGATTCGATATTTTCATTTGATTCTTTCATTCGATATATCGTTTGGTTAGTTAGGTTAGGTTAACCTTACCTAACTAACCAAACAATATATCGAATGAAGCAATCGAATAACACGCTCACTGCGTTACGAGATCCCGGGGTCTCGTATCGCACCTAGCCCGTGGTGCGGGACCGACAACTTGCTATTTATCTGTAAATTACAACATTGATATTTTGGCCTACGATTATCGTAAAGAAATGAAACCGTACATAAATAATGTATTTTTATTGCTGAAACAGCTGGCATTCATGAAACAAACGAGATACATAGATCTCGTAACGCACTGAAGTAATAAACTTTTACTTTATTACGATACGAGACCTCTGGATCTCGTATCAAAAATAGTTGCTCCAAGCGCCACAGGTGGCGATAAGTTTAGTAGTCTAACATCAACAGAGAGCGCTAGGGTTATTTGTTGATATATTGAAAGCTAACCTAATCATTGCGTTTTAGTGTGGTTAACTGTGTGTACACTGTTTATTGAGTTTTTGTAAGTATGTTTTCGTCTGATGAGGACAACCCTGACGACCCTCAAGACCCTGACGATCCTGCTAAGGTGTACAATACGCGTAAACGACCAAAACTTATTGTTGTGAATGCCAGTAATAGTGCTTTCTTGGAACAACTGGTTACGGAAGGATTGGATGGGCCGGTCCCTAGTAGTGCATTATCCGAAAGTAGTGACGATGAGCAAGAACTATGTGATTTCGATGGAAGCGATATTGAAGACCCTGACTATGTACCATCATCGGACGATGCTTCGTCAGGTGGTGATGGAGAAAACGATGAAGATGACAACTGCGAGATGGATGTGACAGCGATGACGGATGGGAGAACATTTCGTCAAGATTGTGACCAACGCCGTAAACTAACCGGCAGACATCTTGTCAACCACACACTCGGTGGAGGCGGAGACTATTGGACAATGGGCGAAGGCGGGGACGACGGAGCAGTCGGCAGAGGCGGGGATGATGGAACAGTCGGCGGAGGCGGCGAAGATGGAACAGTTGGTGGACGAGGTGAGGAAGATGGAACAGTCGGTGGAGGTGGTAGGGGCATGATCACGACCTCAGGTGGTACCAGCACATCGGAAGGACCTGACATAAACCAATTCGGGTGCTGTTGGGTCGAAGACAAATCACCTTTTACTTTACCTGAGACAGTTTATTTTGAAGAGTTTTGTGGAAATTCAAAAGTGAACATTAACGTTGACAACCCTGCTTCACCTATTGATATTTATCTCCACTTTCTAGACGAAGAGCTCTGGGACTACATGGCCCAAGAAACAAACAGGTATGCTATTCAATTTTTATCATCTAACCAACCTTCTGCAAAATCAAGGTCTAATGATTGGCTTCCCACAACATCTGCTGAAATGAAAAAAATTCGTAGGTATTATGATTTGTATGGGCCTAGTTCAACTGCCGCACATCAATTTGTATTGGTCTAAGAATCCGTTATATGGAAACCCGTTGATTAAACAAACCATGACGAGAGACCGCTTCTTGTTGATAAAGAAGTTTTGGCATTTTGTGAATAATGAACGGATTCCTGACCAAAATGACCGTTTAGCTAAGATAAGAGTAATTGTGAATTACCTCAACTCAGCATACATGTATGCGTTGGAACCTGGCAAGGATCTTGTAATAGACGAAACAATGATACCATGGCGAGGGAGGCTTGTTTTCAAACAATACATAAAGAATAAGGCCCATAAGTATGGAGTGAAAGTGTATAAGCTGTGTACAGTTGACGGCTATACACTTAAAATGATTTTGTATGCTGGGAAGAGCATAAACAGCCCCCATGGGCACACCTATGATGTGGTTTTAGATCTAATGGGGGATTTTGAAAGTGACGATGTCCTGATTGAAGGATTTCTCAACAAAGGAAGGACCTTAATAACTGACAACTTTTACACTGGCATACCCATCGTCGAAAAACTCCTAGAACTGAAAACGAGGATGTGTGGAACAGTAAATGTGAACAGAAAGGGATTGCCTAAAGGATTGAAAACTAAGTTGAAAAGGGGCCAATGCATTGGATTTAAGTGCCAGCATGGTACAAAAGTGGTAAAATGGACGGATAAAAGAAACGTGACAATGGTGTCATCATCCCCTAATCATGACAGTACCCTAGTAAATTCAGGGAGAAGAAATAGAACAAATGAGCCGATACTGAAGCCTAAGTGTGTGCTTGACTATAATAACGTGAAGAAGGGAGTTGACTACAGTGATCAGATGTCGTCATACTACACAACGTTACGAAGAAATCTCAAGTGGTATAAAAAAGTTGCCCTTGAGCTCATCTAGGGAACCACCTTGGTGAACTCGTGGGTTATTTACGGGAAGCTGAACAACGACAAAATGCCTATGCTTAAGTTTAGGGAATCAGTTGCTTTAAGCCTAATGGGCCTGGACGAGGCTCCTGTAAGACATATGACACCACCACAAAGAAAGAGGCCAGCTCTCAGTAAATCAGAGGGTGAGGGAAAGAAGAAAAGGCGTCGTTGCAGAGGATGCTATGAGAAACTAAGGAAAACATCCTCTTCAAGAGAGGCTGATAAGAAAACCAAAAGAGTGAACACCTTCTGCAAAGACTGTCCAGACCAACCCTTTTTTTTGCCTGGAATGTTTCAATGAGAACATGTGTAATTTTAATTTTAGTATTCAGTGTCTTTGAGAACATCAACATTTTATTCATATGAAAAATATAAGAATCTTGAAGGGCTTATTTGACAAAATATTTTATAACTACAGTATATTTGTTTAGATATTTTCATTCAACACTTAAAACATTGGAATTTTTATTTTGTATAATAATATTACACATTTTTACTATATTGCAATCCATGTTTTAAAATTGTAATGGAATAAATAATGTGCAAACATATTATTCATTTATATTTTTTTAACCTAGAATCAGCCATGAGAAAACGTATTATTATAAAAAGTTTAATTTTTTATCTATAAAGTGATAAAATATTAATTTTATTGCTGTCGATTATTAGGAATTTGTAAATAAATAGAAATCACATGTTTTATTGTAAATAAATACAAATAAATTATGAAGTATTACAAATGTGCAATACGAGATCTCGGGGTCTCGTACAATGACGTCATATTCAGTTCCTGGGCTGGCTGAAGATTGTCAACATTGTACTGGTTCAAATAAACAAACACAGAGCGCTCACTCTCCATTTATTTCGAGGTTATGATGCGCAAAAGATTACTGCGCAACGTAATCTCGGGGTCTCGTATCGCACCTGGGTAATCATAGCGGACGAGACCTATAGATCTCGTAACGCACCAGTGTAATAATGCGGGAAAATATATAACGCAGTGAACGTGTTAATCGATATATCGATCGATATTTTCATTTGAATGAGTGTAGGACGTCAAGTAAAGTGCAGCCATTTAGTCAAATTTCTAAGTATTTAATTGAAAATTGAAGATTAATAAAAAAAAAATAAAAAAAAAAACAAACTCTAAGTTAAAGTTATGGCTTTGACATTCCCTAGTGTTCAAAATTATCTTTCTATCAAAACGTAAAAATCATGCAAAAGTAGGCTAAGTAGTTGATTTTGATAGTTTTATTTAGGTACGGTATTCAAGTTCATGAAAATGTACACCAATCTATATTTTTACATTCAAAACATCAATAAAATAAATAAACAGATCATAACCTAATTCCATACCTAAGTGAAGTAGTAACAAAGGCGTACGTAGCTCAAATTTGTGATTAATTTTCATTCTAATTGTGTCGGAAAGTCACGTTTGGACATTATGTAGGAAACGGGGTGATTCCTGGGGAAATATGTGGGAATCAATTTTATGTAGGTAATCGTTGGACGAAGGGATTTTAATGTTGTAGGCTAAGTTAGTTGCTGATTTGCTATCAGCAAACCAAAGACATAGTGCTCTCTGTGCGTGCCGGTTTTGGTTATCTTTGAGTGAGACAGCCGTAAATTATGAGTCAAATGTATATTCCTTGTGAATTTTTCACATCGATTTAGTGAATTCAACATCCTTGAGATGTGGAATTGTGTAAAATTGGTGTATATATTGAGGTTTTGGAGGAACTGTGATTAGGGTCGGTTTTATTAAATTCCAGTCATTAATTGGAACTGGAAATGCTTTCCTCCCAATTATTATCCTCCAAAACTTCTTTTTATACCTACACTGTTTACACAATTTCACACTTCAGGAAGTGTTTTTAAGCTGGGGTCTGAGTCATACATTTTTACATAGCCTATAGGTAGCCTAAAAATCATTTGTTTTGAACTTTGGATGGCATTAACTTAAATTTAATGCATATGACTCACACAAACAGGCTATAGCCTATTTATGGTTTAAAGAGGTTGGTGGCCTCTTTAACCTTACATTTGCCCGTCCCAATTGTTCTTGGCCTGTGCGTGGCACATGTCCAGCATAGCAATGGGTGAGCAGTTACAGCAGGATTCTTCCTATTTCTTACTGATAAAACGTATGGCAGGTAGGCCTACCAGTATCTAAGCCCACGACATTGTTGCCTTGGGCCCGAAGTTTGTGGCGCAAGGCTAAAGTAGGATACGGTATGATAAAGGCAAAAAAGTTACATACCTAAGCTTAACAAACACAAACCAGAATTGCTTCATTATTATGGATTTAAACAGAAGGATAATTAATTTCATGAGCTTTACAACCTTAATAGTGATCCATTAATCATTTTACATTTTCGTTCAGGTAAAGATGTTTCTCTATATTTTTCAATTTTTAACAGACCTGGTGAGGTTGAACCAGTCATAAAACCAGCCAAATTATTCATGGTGCAGAGATTCAGGAGCTTGTTCGGCCAACCGTACTGGGTGAAGGACATTATTGCCCAATTAAAACTTGACACAGATGTAAGTACCAGTTTTTAGAAAATTATTTTAAATCTATAATGTGAACCCCACTAGCGCGTTAGGGCCTACGGGATTGTAGAATGTCTAGTTAAGTTTACAAAAAAATGTAAGAATATAAAGATTTATAGTTTTAAACGTAAAAAAAACTGATTGTACTTTTTTCCTTGAAAACACAAACCTCAAAAATTACGAGTCCGCAGAAAAAAATTCTAACAAAATCAATAAATGGTAGGTACCAAACACATTATTAGACGTAGCCTAATCTTAAAAAGCATTCTCTGAATTTGAAGCCTCTGGCCCTAATAGGAGCTGATTTATAAGTTAGGCTGTCGTTGAAAAAAGGGGTGACTTTAGGTTACTCATAGAATGCACCCGATGACTTTTTCTTTGCAAACTTATTCAACAATGCATTTTATGATTTTATTTTGATTGTTTTATTTTGTTCCTTTTATCTGTTCTTTTCTTTTTCACATTAAGTTTAATGTGCTTTTCTGCTTCTAACAATAGGCCTAGTGTAATTGCTGCTTTTAAACAGTACCTTAAGAACATTAAAAATTTTGATTTTTCTGTTGCAATTTTTAATTAATTATATCATCTTATTTCAGTTATATCATTATTCCTCGTTTTTTTACACGTTTACTGCATGTCTCTGATCGGAGACATCGATCCCTGCCCGGGTGCGCATGCCTCTGATTGGAGACATCGATCCCTGCCCGGGTGCGCATGCCTCTGATTGGAGACATCGATCCCTGCCCGGGTGCGCATGCCTCTGATCGGAGACATCGATCCCTGCCCGGGTGCGCATGCCTCTGATTGGAGACATCGATCCCTGCCCGGGTGCGCATGCCTCTGATCGGAGACATCGATCCCTGCCCGGGTGCGCATGCCTCTGATTGGAGACATCAATCCCTGCCCGGGTGCGCATGCCTCTGATTGGAGACATCGATCCCTGCCCGGGTGCGCATGCCTCTGATCGGAGACATCGATCCCTGCCCGGGTGCGCATGCCTCTGATTGGAGACATCGATCCCTGCCCGGGTGCGCATGCCTCTGATCGGAGACATCGATCCCTGCCCGGGTGCGCATGCCTCTGATTGGAGACATCGATCCCTGCCCGGGTGCGCATGCCTCTGATCGGAGACATCGATCCCTGCCCGGGTGCGCATGCCTCTGATTGGAGACATCGATCCCTGCCCGGGTGCGCATGCCTCTGATCGGAGACATCGATCCCTGCCCGGGTGCGCATGCCTCTGATTGGAGACATCGATCCCTGCCCGGGTGCGCATGCCTCTGATTGGAGACATCGATCCCTGCCCGGGTGCGCATGCCTCTGATTGGAGACATCGATCCCTGCCCGGGTGCGCATGCCTCTGATTGGAGACATCGATCCCTGCCCGGGTGCGCATGCCTCTGATCGGAGACATTTGTCATGGACATTGAGCTGCCATTATATTTGGTCTAGCTATTGAGAAGGAAACGCATATTTTGCCTTAGCGTGCATGTTAGGGTAGTGGGTTATTAATTCGGTGCTGGTCAAGGTTACCGCCAATATTCATATTTTCCACAGGGCTTTATTTTTGCGATTGTTGACTTTGTTCATCTTCACGTCTGTTGTAGCATGTTAGACATTCAATGCTATCAATTAGAATAGCAATACTGTACTGTAGCGTTGTGCAAAAAATCCAACATCAACATTGTGCTTGATCCCTTTTTTGTGGTATGTTTTGGTGGTGTATCCGGGTTCTTCGCCCCTGCTTTTTCCCTCCATTTTTCAATACTGAAGGCCGACTAGCAGTTTTGTTTAGTGCTGCTATCTATTGGGTTTTTGTAAAACTAGTTCCACGACAACTGGGACGTAGTTTGTATTTCCTATTGGATGAAACTGAATTCAAACATTTTCGCATAGCCTACTCATCCACGCGACGCTGTCCACGCTCCCGGCAGCGGACGACCATAACGCAGCCATAGCGAACGTGTTAATGAGTTTTTACATTCTTTGTTGCTAAATTTATGTTCTGCATGTATTTAATGTTCCAAAAAAATTTACAAAATAAATTCAAAAAAGGACAGATTCTGGGCTTTTAAAAACACCACCAAAGTCACCTCTTGCTTAAAACTACACACACCGGTGGTATAGAAGGCCTATTGGCATCTTAAATTATCTTGTAAGTTGTGTGTGTAAAACAGTTTATTTGGCCTGGATGCTTGTACCATCAACATCAAGATTGAAGTTTACCTTTTTGAGTTAAAGACTTAATTGATAACACACAAATATGATTCCAACAATTATTCAGTAGAATTAATCGTTTTCAATATATTCCAACGTTTATTTCAGCAAGCTGACAAGAGAATCGTGAAAAACACTCCTCACGTCAACAAACTATTGTGGATCGTAAAACACATGGTAAAGATAACTCCGATCACGTTTCCCTATGGTGAACCAAAGGAGGGCGATGAAGGATATTTGAACGATAAAGGTCAGTTTATCCTTATCAAGAAAATCGGATCTGGAGTCGATGAGTCACGTTTGGAAGCTTCTCATAAATTCTTCAAAGACCCATTGAAAATGGAGGCTGACACAATCAAGAAGAAGTATAGAGACAAATGGTTGACCTCTAGAAACTAGTGGTCTAGAATTTGTTGAGTTTCTTGTATTAATAAAAGTGGTTTATTTGCAAACATTTTTCTTTTGTAACAATCCTACAATTAAGATGTCTAGACATGAAGCTGCAACAATGTTTAGTTAGACAACTAAGCTGTGAGAGTTGTATTGTATGTCATGTTTATTTCCATTAACACTTGAATGTGTGGATGTCTTCTCTTTATTTATTGGTTATTTTACTAATTTTAAATCATTGGTACAAAATTGAACTAAAAGTAGGCCTACTACTTGTCCTCAGATATAGTAGTCTTAAGCAAGAAGTAAAAGAAACATTGTAAAATGCACCCTATAAGAGTTAAACATTTACTTAGCCACACAGCGAAACATTACTGGAAATGATACACCAAAATAAGCCTCAGATTTTTGGTTGTATAAAAGTTGACTCCGAGTTCTAAATCAATTGTTGCGTCTTGGAAACACTCATGGTTTATGCTTTACATGATAAGATTCTAGCTGCAAGTTAAGTTAGAAATCTGAGAATACAGTAGACTCTCGCTCACCCGGATCGGCCTTGTCCGGACTCCCGGTAGTCCGGATCGGCAATCGTGATTTTTTTAGTGGCTCAGTACAGTAGAAGTCCGATTATCCGAGCGAAACAGGACCGAGACTACCTCGAATAATGAAAAAACTTGGATAACTTATAAATAAACTTATAATATAACTTATAATAAACTCGGCGGTAAAAATTATTACCGGTGGAAGTGTATATGACCGAGCTACAATTACTGTGGACCTGGAACAAAATTTGGCTGAAAAAATTATTACCGGTGGAAGTGCATATGCCCGGCTATCATTACTGTGGACCTGGAACAAAATTGAAAAAACGGCTATATACAGTACTGTGTATTTGCCCGACTCTCGATAGTCCGGATTTTTCGTAATCCGGACCGGACGTCCGCCACATTAGTCCCGATGAGCAAGAGTCTACTGTATTAGTAAACTAGAGACAAAGCAAGGTCATTTGGCACCGCTTGGCAAGAATTAAACTTGAGGGTATGGAACCATTCCCCTCTCCAGTTAGAAGGGATATTTGGTAATTATTAAGCCTAAAAAATAATTTTATTGCTAGTTTTAGCAAAATATAATAGCGGTTTAAATAATTTTTTTACTGAAATTCTTGTGGTCTGTCTAGGCTACTGGTTTTGAATCTTCAAAGGTAGTCTTCATCAGACCACAAGGGTCTCAATTATCATTCATTCAGGACAAGTCAGTATTGTTGACTAACAAAAACACACAAAAGTACACAGAAGAAACAACGTAAACATTTCACAAATTAGTTACAAAGTAAAACTTGTGGTGACGTATAGGCCTACGGCATAGCAGACTGGTCTAGACTTCCATGTCTCTTTGAGAGTCGAAACCGGTAGCCTAGACCGACTACAAGAATCACTCTGGCAGTAAAAGGTATTTTTAAAACCACTAATTTACTACATGTGATTCGGAGGCTAACAGCATGAAATTAGTTTCAACAGTAGACCTATCCTATCCACAACTGGTGTGGGAGTACGTGGTATAAAACACTGTCTGATTGACTCCGGAGATTATTTCCCACAATCTCGGAGATATCATCATCACCCTCCCACAATCGGGGTAAAATCGTAAAAATGCCTGTGTGAGAGGAGACCTTTGTCTATCAGAATCGTTAACATCTCCAGTGGTTGCGGGGACATTATAATCTCCTGCAATCACTTTGATTTCATAAATTTTTGATCAGGTTATTTTCACAGATACTGTGATTGTGATAATTTTTCAAGAATAAAATCAAGGTTCGGCTCGATTTTATCTGACTTGGTTCTCGGTCTGTTTTATAGCCAAGCGTTGTATCATCGCAGTCCTTACCTTAAAATAGTATGGTGTAAAAATCCAGGTAATCAAAGAAAAATTAAAATAATATAACATTTACTAAAAATTAGAAGAGTATACAAAATAATGTGGACAAGGCAGAGTGCAGATTACAGCATTTGTTGTTTCTGATAAATTACAATCTTATTGTCCATGGTTGTGCTATGTACAGACTTGATCATTATAAGAAACATAGAACATCTAACACATAAAATTCAGTAGCACCATTAAATAAAACGACTCCTTCTGTCCCTACAAATAAAAAAGTTCAGTCTTATAATAATTCTAAGTCACAATTCGTCTTTCATGGATCCTTTAATATTTTTTTAACTTGTAATTTAATGTCTTAATGTATTGATAAATTTCAATAGCCAAATAGATAAATCGATAACACTTTTACATCAAGATTAAATTATGTGCGCTTATAATAAACTACAACTACACATTTTGTCTTGTAATGTCATTTTTAAGTTGTCTTTTTATATATACAAGTACATAATAAGGGGAGTTAAAACGTTTTCTCTGCGGAAACCAGCCGCCAGACACATTCTCTTTGTTTATACATTTGTTAAAATTTCACTTGTTCAAAACCAAAATGGATTTTTATACTGAAGAGACTAGCTAAGAAATCTGAGAGAGAAAACAAATCCCGGGAATCCTACCATACTTGACATTTTTTGGTTGGGTTCATTTTAGAGCCGGTCGGACAACTGAAGTCTTTGGCAAACTCAGGTCGGTTCGAGAACGGTCCTCTCACTCGGAACTCGCCCGGAGAATGTTGTCCGGTGATGATACGCAGTTTTAATGTCTCCGGACGGTATTTGGAGCACCACGTGTTGGCAGCACTGATCCAGAACATCTGTTGTGGTGTGAAGTCTTGTAGTCCGGGCAGTCTGTCCTCCTCCCTGCCATGCTCCTTGACCCAATGTTGGTACGCGTAGTAGGCCTGCTTGATACCACCGTTGTCGGCAATGTTCTCCCCTTGGGTGTTGACTCCATTTAGCTGTGGGTGAAAAGTAATGGGTGTAAATCAAGCAATTTTCATACACTACATAAACATATAGCCTTACAGCTAATTCTGTTTTCATCTAAAAGGTGGTATGAATTTCAAAACTATGAGGAGCAAGCTGGTCTAGTGGTAAAGTGTGGGATTTCTGTCCCCGAGGCCTCGGGTTCAACTCCCGCCAATCATGGATTTCATTCAAGTGATAATGCCGCCACCCTCTAAGTCTAGCCTGAAATAATGTGTTAACGATTCCAGGATACAGTTTAGTGTCCTAAAATGTAAAAGTAGGACAAAAACTTTAAACTAATACCACCATTTATATTGCTGTTATGTTAGACTTTTTATGTAAGACACATCTGTATGGGACATTCCACATTCTGTTAGAACAATATATACAATTGTGTGAAAGGACTGCAAATGAAAATGGTCTTTTTTTAATACTCTTACAATCCAACTCTTACTTCTAAGATATTATTGATCTAACGTTGGGGAGGGCCGATATGGCTACATAATTGTGGGTGTCAGAAGATAAAGGTGTTGCTAAAAAGGAGGCAAATCAGCTGATGTAGGTACCAGAAACCATGGACCAGAACGTTTGTCATCTAGGGTCGTGCAGGGAGAACACCCAAGGCTCTAGAGAACATTTGTAGACTGAGAGAATAACGTGGAAACCAAGTGTTACTATGGCATAAAATGCATCTTTAGTAAAACACAATTGAGGAAAATGGTCGGTATTTGATTAAGATGTTTTGGAAGTCAGTAGGAAGAGGACCAAGGATACAGTCAGGAAAACATTTTCAGGTTTACCTAATGTTTTGCTAGATACCTGTAGGAAAATACAAAGTGCACAGAAATTCTGACACTATTAAAAAAATCTTATATCAGAAAGTATTATTTACAACCGTTTCCAGTTCATGCCGGATGTAAGACGAATGGTTATATTCATCATACAATCTATTTTATTTTTTTACAACCTATTGAATTTTCAGTCTAGTAAAAATTAACAAAATAAATTCCAAAATCTCACATTAAGTCCAACTTCTTCTGCTTTGTAGTCTCCATATTGCTTAATAATGCAGTCAGCTTTCTTGAGGTAAGCTTCTTTGGTTTCTGTTGCCCACCAGTCAACCAAATTTCCGTTCTTGTCGAATTGTCGTCCCTAAACAAAGGCAAAACAAAGTAGATTCTCAGACCTCATTAAAGTGTACGGTATTAGTTAACCCCATATTTTTAACATAATCTTAACTATAATATCCTTCGTCTGTGCCAACGAGCACATATTAAGGATTAGGGCTATATTCTTTCTCTTTTTGTTAAAAGGTAATACTGTATCACACAATCTCAACACACAAGTCTTCTAATAAAAATCCTCATTTTGTTTTGTACATTAAAAATCAACATCTTCACTATACCAACAAATTTAAAACATTTTAAACAGACAGATAAACAATATTAACTACGCAAAAAGGATAAATGTAAAAAAGTATGGAAGTATGGAGTATAGAATGTGATAAAGAACAAGATTTTTTAAATTATGGTACCTAAAGAGGTTTTGACATCACTTTTGGTTGTATCACATGAAACAGGAATCTCAAAATTTGTCTTAACCTCTCAGGTACTTGACCCAGACTAATTAAAACGCTCATTACTTACTTTAATTGTTTATTTCCTATCCTGTCTAGTTATCAATGCCCTATTGTAAACTATTTAAAATTATATCTCTTTCTTCAGGTTTGTACAATTTGTAGTGTGTAGAGAGTTCACATAATACCATACAAAATTAACATTTCAGTAGTTTGAAGTCACCTTAATAAAGAACAGACCAAACAGAACAATTCAAAAATGGTATTTCGAGCTGAAGCAAATAATTTTCAGCGATTTGGAAAAGATGTAGAGACAACATTTAGTTCGCTCTTAATTCAAAGTGTTATTGCTTCATATTTAGAGCAGTTAAAGAATTTTGGATGTTTTATAAAAATTGATTGTAATTATGTGTTCCTATAGCCACCTAAAGATACTGTTCCAATGTGTTACCTGATCATCAAACCCATGGGTGATTTCATGGCCGATCACAAATCCGATTGCTCCATAGTTCATGTAGTTAGGTCTGTCGTGAGAGAAGAACGCTCCTTGTAAGATACCAGCTGGAAACTCTGAAAAATCACACAAATCAATGATAATCTTATTTGAAAAATGTATTGAAAGTCCTTAGAGCTAGGTAAAAAAAAGTTTTAGGTGTGAAAAAGTCAATATAAAAAAATATAATATGATATACTCACGGATCGAGTTTTCAATGGAACTGTAGAAAGCGTTGACAATTGCAGGACGGCCGTGGGATATCCAGTCGGTTTTATTAACCGGTTTCCTTAATCTTCCAAAGGAAAAGTCAAGCCCAAACTTAGTCAAGTTTAATACTGATTCTAAGTAGTTTCCTTGTGTAATCTCAAGCTAAAACATACAAACATTTGATTAAATTAGATTTTTTTACCATGGATAAAACATAGGCTACTCTCCAAGTAGATATGTCATCCTTTTACATCAGCTGAAGCCAAGATTTTATTTTTAGGTCCGTCCAGTGCACTATAGAGGTTGTGTTTTGTTTACAATTTGTTTATTGTTATTTCAATTAATTTAAAACCTTGTTCAACCGAATAAAACGATCTAATCATAAACAATAACTCGTCGGCTAGCTATATGACCAAACAGTAAAGCACACATCATGAAATTAACCCTAAAATAATAAAATCAAAATTTCATTGACACTAGAGATCAGTGTTGACGACATCATCATGAACTAGACAAAAAAATGGGCTTCAAATTAACAATAGAAGTCCACTTATGTAGCAGGTTAGTCTATGTTTTTACTTTCACAAATACATATTACTAAATTTCAAGTAAGTTATTCATTTGAAACACTATTTGACAAACGGATTGAATTGATAGATATTTTGAATTGCCTTTGCAAGTGGTATCCATCAAAACATAAATATAGTAAGTAACAAAATTCCTTTGAATTCATCATTCATTCTATTCAATTATAATTATGTGTTTTTTTACTTAGAGAACAGTAACATCAAGACCAACACCTAAATTGTGTTAAATTCAAGCCAACCTTCTGATAGAATTCCTCTAGCTTGCTGGAGTCCAATATTTCATCAGGGTAGGCAATATGAGATGTCATCGCCCTAGCCTTCTCAAGGCCATTTTTCCTGTACATGAAAAACTCTGGTAAACTTTAAAATCAATACTGAAATTGTGATCATTGTTTTACACTCCCAGTTCAAAAGCTGTAGTTTAAAACACTTTCATTCAATGTAGATCTTCAGTGTTGTTGATTTCGTTTTCAAACAAAGTACAGAAGAACGTTAATAATCCGGATTAATTGGGACCTGACCCCATCCGGTTTACCAAACTGACCGGATAAGGGCCAGTACACAGTATTTGAGGAAAAAAATTAAAATTGTATATTTTTTAAATTATAGGTTATGGGTTCAATGAAGGGTCTAAAATAGAGATGAATCTAAAACATTTGCTATGTTCAAGCAATGTGTCGTAGCTAATTCATAGCGATATGTGTACAATGTACAGTAACCACATCAGACACTACGTATTTGAGCTTTTAAAAAAATATGTGATACACTTTTAAACTGCAGCAGTGGTTTTAAAAAAACGGTACAAAAGCTATAGCCAAATTTAAATTATTGACGGTCCGGATTTTTTACCTCTGAATTATTGACGTAATACTGTATATATATTTTTTAGGTGTGTGTGGAAAATTATTTGAATTCATTTTCTATTTAATTCCTCGAACTGTTAAAATCGTTAATACAACAAAACGTCTTTCATACTTTACCTAGTCTCTTCGTCCATCCAGTCCACATTTTGCAGAATCTTGTACATTTGCTCACGGATGTTGTCCACCATTTCTAATGCGTTCTTTTTTGCTTCCTGCTTGAAGAAGCGTTGCACATACAATGAACCAACGGCCAAAGATAAACTGGAAAACATCATTAGGTGAAACATAAACGTATTAGGTGAATAAAGGTATTGACAAAAATACTTTTATTACAATTCACAAAATTAACTTGTTGGTTATTACATATTGTTCCATATCACTACAAACCCCTTTAGGTGCAGTTTTACTCTGTAGTTATATTCATGATGAACTGATTGTGATGGTCAATAAGTTCTCTTTTTTAAGGAATTGCTTGGACAAATAAATTCACCAAAAGCTAACATTGTTTAATACGTTGTTTGTTCTGTCACTTGAATGAGTTTTTATCCTGGGATGTTTTCTTTGATTGAAACACTGTTTTCTCAGTTACTGTAGTTTTAGCAACTGACTGTGTTAATATAATTAAATTCTTTTAAAAACTCCATACAAAACACTAACTTCAAAGGGTTCCCTAATACATACTACTTCATTAACCTAATTTTAGAGTTCCCTCAGAGTATAAAATTAAAATTAGAAGCCTGCCATGTTGTCTCTTGGCCACTAATAAGATAAACCAACTATTTGGGGAATAAATTTTGTTTGGCAAAATCAATCACAATAATATTGTATTGTTTAATCATGGAATTAATGACTATTCAAACTCACATTTGTAACAATATCTCACTGCTTCTCTAGAACCTTGTATTGAAAATAAAATAATTTAAACTTATTTACTCACCTTCCGGCTGAGAGACCAACACACTCCTTCCACCTTGGCTCTCTCTCAGTTCGTCCGGACAGCGCTGTGCCGTACTCTAGCTGACGCTTGCGTAGACTCTCCGTCAAGGATGAGACAGACGACGCAACTGCGCGCCACAACATGTAGTTGGCCTGCACCCTGAACACCACATTCACATTCAACTAAATATCTGATAAGATGACATGAGTGACCAAGGCTCATAATATTCAATGTGTTGAAATCATTGACTTCTCTAAATTGGTCCCATTACCCATGGCGAAAGGAAAGTTAAAACAATCAATTAGTAGCCTATATTAAAAAACCACAGAAAAAGCTAATTTCTAATAGCTTAAATTGAATTTTGCCATTTGAAAACCTCGTAAAGAAGGATATTTACAGTTGACTCATTTAGAATATTAACCCTTTGCAGTCGAATTGAGAGTATAGGTCGCCGTGCGCCAGTTTCTCGACTCCTCGAATGGTGATCTATACCACATACTCATAAAAAATAAATCAACCTCAAAGGGTTAATTGACTATTACAACACATCTGAAAAGTGAAAATATACCTAAACCTGCCATTTTTGATTGACAAGAATGACAAGTAATGATAGCTTTTTGTTGAATATGAGGGATATGCCTTTTGTATTTTTTATGTCTAAGCCAGGACCACAAATTAACAGCCCTGTAATACAAGTTAAAACGTAATCTGTTTCTAGTTTAGATCATTAAAAAACTAAATTTTTCTTCAGGATAATTTAACTAACTTAATTTTTAATTCATAACTTTATCCAGGAATTGTTATCGATATGGAACTAGAGGAAAAACTATGTAACAGAGGATTAGATGCTTTAAAAGCTAAGAATGAGAGGACTAAATTTAATGTAGATCAGCAAAAGGTGATTCTTACCAAAGTGATTTTGAGACTCAAACTTATATACACAAAGAATAACTAAGATTTATTTTTGTCTACATACAACACTTGAGTTTTTTATGTATAATATTTTGTACCATAAACCAATAAAGCCTATTTGGTATAACCATTGACTATATAACCCATTTATAAGGGAACCAGTGGCGAAGTCATAAATGTTCCAGTGCGGAAACGCTCACTGTTGTCGTAGAAAAATACAGGTCGCCTATCAATATATAGGTTCTTTGGAACAAGCCGAGTGGAAAAGCTATTCACATTTGTTCCTGCTCCACACCACTGAACCAATAAAAAAACTAGGATTTAGTAAAACCCCGTAAAAAATTGAAAGATCTACTCTACCTCTTTGGAGTATTGCTCAGAAGTGCTTCCAGGTCCTCGATATACTTAGGCTCGTCCAAAATAACAACTTCATCCGGCATCAATGGGACGCTCTTAGGCAGGATTGTGGAGATATATTCAACCCAGGGAATGGATGGGTACCTCTCTTGGAGTTCGGGGATAGTCCTGGGGTTGTACAACCTGTTGGCATCTCGTCGCTTTTCTGGAGGCATGGAAATCTGTAAAGTGAAGGCGATGTTTACAAACATTTACATAAAGTTCAAGGTTTTGTTTTTGCTTATATCGGTACAAGAATCAAATACGTCCAAAATTTCAATGTCTTCCAGAATCCTGGTAGAAAAGTCACTTTGTCTGACAGCATATAAATTTATGACACTTCAAGCAGACAGTGTGTACAATGACATGGTCACTTACCTTAGCAAGTTCTATCTCAAAGTCCAACGACTCCTTGAGTTCCTTGGTCGCCCGGTCGCGGTCAGCCCCAAACATGGTAGCGATGTCTACCATGTAACTGTACAAAGCTTGTACAAGCTTCTCCTCCATTCCCTTCACCAAGTACTCTCTGCTCAGACTCAGTGACGCTTGGTCCAGCTATTGGTGAAAAATAGGATTTTAAAAATCCAGTTGTACACAATGTTAAATACACTATTTGTTAGTCTATGTATTGTTAATTGGAGTAGAGCCTCTCATCTCTACTAACAGAATAGGATGGTATAAATTCAATAGTAAATGAATAAAAAATTAGGTTAACCCATAGAGAGAAGGTACATAGGAAACACGCTTATGGGACAACCTTGTTTGTACCTTCAACTCTGGTATGTTGTGCCAAAAATATACTTTTGACGAGCAAAGAAGAGCCTGAGCGGCGAGCACTGTGAGGAAGTTGCTATCACTCAGACCTCAGTGTCTTCCTCCACTTTGAGAGTTGTAGTACATGACAGCAGGCGGTATTGGACTTTGCCCTAGACACCAGCGACTACGCTAGACACTATTAAATTGTACCTGAGTGTTTCTTCTGTACCTTCCTTCTCTGTGGTTAACTGTAAGAATCATGAGGTTTTAGTTTGTCTCGATAATTAATTTTCATATACTTTATCCCATCATAATGCATACAACTGAATCTTATCTCTTACGTAAATCATGTATTTGTCTTATCTCTTACAATACTCACATCAATAACCCTTTTAGTGGAGTTCTTGTAGTCGGTTGTGATGGAAAAGTCAATCAAATAATCAATGCTGAAGCCCTCGTCTTTAAACTTGTAGACTGTGTCTTTCCAGGTGAACTTTGCCGGGTCCCACTGGTCTCCCTCCAGCACAGGCCAACCGCCCATCTTTTGTACAAGTTCCTTGATGTAGGTCAAGCCTTTCTCCTCAATATCCGCTATAACATAATAGATTTAGTACCTAGTAGAACACTTTCAGAGTTTTAATCTACTTCGACTACTGTTTTTAAGTTTCCGTAAAACCGTTTGATGTTGTATTGTTCAGAATGGGGTTCCAACCAAATTAGCTCTAGAAATCCGCAATTTATAAAACAAAGAAGTGGTTTGGATTTTAGTTTCATAAGTTGTGTATACAATGTTACGGTTCATCTTTAAATTTAATGTTTTTTACCAGGTCTTGTGGGAGATGTTTTTGTTTACTGTTCAACTAAAGTATTGACTTTGTCAGGATGATTGGTTAGAAAGGTATTTTTGATGAAGATTGTTTATACGTTATTACTTACACCGATTCATACAGGATTTGTACAAGTCTTTGGCCATTCTGTAGGGCCGGGGTTCATCTTCTGCTGAAGGTTCTTCTATGATTACTCTCAACTGTTCAGTGAGTTTGTCATCTATCTTGCTAAACAATGTCACTGAAGTCTAAAAAAAAAATAAGAAATATTAGACCATGGAAAGTAGCGTCTCGTTTTCCTGGTCAGGAACCGATGAGAACCTCATTAGGGAAAGAGTGGGGGGCATGACGTCACTCTTTTCTTGAGGGAACACCATTACCGCAACGATATGAGGTGAAGCCATCGGTGTTCGTGGCGTAGTGGTTAGCGTACTCGATGTCGATGAGGTATCCAGATCGAATTCTACTGGTGACATTAACGTTTTGTCAAAGATTTTGCTTAGAATGCGATTACTTCTTAACTGTACATCTTTTAATAGAGTTTGAAGCATTTATAATTTTATTTTATTTTATGAACAGAAATATTTTTTTTATTAGCAAAAATTTCATTCGATATCTATCTTGAATTTTTTTATATTACTGTATCAGCAAGTTTGGTTGGTTAGGTTAGGTTATGACAGTTTAATTTTAAAATTAAAAAGTTAATCTTATTATAAAAAAAAATTGTTTTATAATTTTTCTTTAATCGACGTGAGGGGCACAATCCCCCACTCCTTCGCAGAAGAGGTTCTCATCGGTTCCTGACCAGGAAACTGAGACTCCAGTCATGAGGTCAAGAAGTAATAGCAATGAATTACTTTAAAATTAATATAAATTACTGTGAAATACGATGCATAATTTATGACACAAATTATTGTCTAGAAAATTTGTAAAACTTAAAATTAATATTGTTGAGAGTTGGTCATCCTGATAGATCGAACAGTGTCCAATAGTAATGTTAATGTTAACATGTCTCAACTTTTTATGTTGAATCTGGTAAATTTTCTTGTATTTATGCATAAACATGCCTTTTTAAACAAATAAACTGATTTTAAGATGTTTAATATCATGGTAATATAAAATTACTTAAGTTTGAAAGTATGTTATTATTTTTTAAATAGACTAATGTAATCATACACTATTTTAATTCATAGATAGCTGGACAGGGAAGTGGCCAGAGCTATCAGAAATTTATTATCAATAAACTATCACTGTTATTGATTATGCTGAAAATTATAGATACAGTATATAAAAAAGATTGTTTAGGAATAGAATAAAAGCAAGAGGCATTAATATTTTTTAACTTTGTTAAAAAATTAATCATTATCCAGCTATTTGTTGATAAATGGGCCATTTTCTGCATTTACTCACTTAGTAATTATATTTTAAAAAACCTAACCATCACAAACCAAGGACTTAAATAAAGAACAGCTATTTTACAGGGTGAATACTGTTACACTACACTTAGATAAAGCATACCAAAACAAAGCTTATCTTATTAAATTTTACCTTGATGGGGTCATTTTTTTTAACAACTACCTCAAGTGACATGCTTGTCCTACTTTGCCATTCAGAAAATTTGAGATACTGAGGTGTTTGATTCTGACAATTAATTATTATTATTAATTACAAATGGATGGACTTACCTTGTCATCAGGAATTTTGGTTTCTTTGAGAAAATTGCCACAGACAAACTGATAAAAGTTGTCACAGGGATCAACATCTTTGTTCATGCTATTCAAAACTTCAGCAGCTGTTGAGGGATAAAACAAATAGTTAGTTTCGGTCGGTTACCTTCATTAACCGTTACGATCTAAAAAAATCAAATATACACGCATGTAGTCTTTTGACCAACTTGAACTCAATCAATTTTTTCGGTAAATAAATTGAGTTGTATCTACATAATATAAAATTGGCCCCTATGAGCTACAAAACACCAGTTTGTTGAAATTGAATAGGTACACGTTTTAAATTATAAAACCATTTTTTGAAAGATATTTTTTTTAATTTTCATTTATTAACAAAATGTATCTTTAACCTTTATGTAGACTAAAAATCTTTGGGAAATAATTACTTTTTCTTCCATAAAATATGATTTATAATACATTACAAAGTGAAGTTTACAAAACATTATTAAAATAAAGAAAATAAAAACAGTATACTTTATTAGCTTAAAATAGTTATTTAAGAATACTAAATCTTCTATTGGTCCTAACTGAGCTTAAAAGTGTGGTTATTATTACTAATATTATAAATGTGAAATATATAATATTTTATAGCCACACTAGTTAATTTTGATTATGAGATCATACGATATCTATCAAAATCATTGATTGTGGAAAGTCTTTGCTAGTAATCTCTCTGCAGTCTGCACATAGTTAACTCACCTGCATAGACACATCCTGGAGTCAAACAAAGTCCTTTTTCACGAGATTTGTTCTGCCATAAGGAGATGCCTTTCTCCATGTCCAGTGCAGCAGGTGCACTGGGCATTGACTCTAAAACAGGGAAACATGATTAAGTCATTTTGGAACAAATAAAAATTCTAAACAAGTTATGAGAGTTCAATAAACATAACAATGCTATCTTTTCAAGTTTTGGAATGTTTAGGTGTATGGTAAAGCCACCGGTGATAAAACTAACGTTTCTTGTGTAAACTTTCAATCAAAGGGTTTTTTTTTTAAATAATAAAAACAGGGCTACTTTAATGATTTATTATTTTAATATATACGATTTTAAAACGTTATTTGAAGAGCACGAGTGGTGTTTGTGTTTATTTTTCAAAATTTGTTTACCTAACCTCATTATGTCTCTAACTATAGTTTTAAAATCATAAGATGAGTTACAATTAAATAACAGCACAAATATCATAACTGGAATTTACTACATTGGTAGTTACTGTAGTTTCTAAATTCTGTAGTCATTTCACTCCAAATAATAAATTCAAAAAAATAGTTATAGCATGAAAATCATAAAATGGTTCATATATTATTTTTAGTATCATTGCACTTGTGGACTAAAAGCTGTCACGTGTTTTCACTTTCTTTATGGTTTGATTTGAAGACAAACCTTCATATAAAGTGAACCCGTCACATATCTTATAAAATAAAACAAAACTATGTAACAAAACCAAAATGTTCATCAGAAAATATTGCCAAAAAATAGCTATCTCTAATATTAGTAAACACACTATTATTTTGGATGATAACAGCTGATTTTGATGGGGTTGATTTTACATGTAGGCTAATGTAGCATGTGTGTGATTGAGTCTTTGAGCAAAGTCTCAAGTTGTTTGGAAAACTCTTGGCGTGAAAGTTTCCAACTTTTTGAAAAAGAAGGTTGTTTGCAAAGCTTCAAACATTAGTGAAAACTTTTAAATACATCTAAGAAACTATCGTGAAATGATTAAAATCTATAAATTACTATTAATATATTATAGAGGTTTGCAAAGGCTAATAAATCGACCATCGGTAACATAAAGAACCAACATATACCACTATTTTTTGGGAAGGGTGAATTTTTTCTAGTAATCGTGGGTGAATTAAAAGCAATCGTTTTTAATCATCCTTATACTGTATATATTCACCTAATTTGTTGAATTTATTTTTATAAGATGAGAGAAAGCATATAAATATACACTATTAAATCAATGAACACACTTTAGATTTCAAATTCCTGCCAACATTCCCATTCAAGATGAAAAACTTAAATTATATCACATGTTGGAAACAATATATGACATTCCACCAGCTTTAAGTGCTTTAAGCGTTTAGTAGCTTTAAGTGTTGGAGGGAGTGTTTATTATTCGTCTTGAGATGTGTGTAATCAATTATATGACTCAACTGGTCGCTCCGTTTCTCTCACATAGATAGCGCGATAGTGAGGATGCCATAGAGGAAGATAGCAGCAGCGGCTAGCGCCGTGCAGTATTTATTATACATCTCGAGATGTATATAATCAATGATGGGACTCACCTGGCCGCTCTGTTTCTCGTACATAGAGGATAGAGAGCGCGATAGTGAGGACGCCACAGAGGAAGATGGCGGCGGCTGCGAGCACCGTGCAGTATCGCTCCATCAGCGTCCGGCGCCTCCACCATGTTGGGTTCCTGGAACAACAACAAAAACCATCAGTGTTTTCTCAATTTTGTGTTTCTGCGCTATCGGGATTTTGATTTTTACCCTTATGAAAGGGATCCAAACCTTGGATTTGTTTAAGATAGGATCATTAATAATAGTCCGTTGACAAATGACACCTGGGTCCAAAAACGACCTCGCTAGGAATCGTACCCGCGTCTTTCAGATTTGGAAGGTGATTTATAGTGATTTGAGCACTATAACCTAGACTATTCAACGGGAATGATATGAATTTGGAAAAGTGAGGCAACGGATAACGACCGAAGCGGATAAAATTAGATATTGAGAGTCCTTGGTGGTTAGCGGCCATCTTGGATTAATTTAAAACAGCTACTAATGAGTTATTTACCATACCGAAATATTTTTCGTCATACTGCAGCAAAAACAGCTGTTTTTTCATTCATTCGTTATGTGTATAGCAATTTTACCCTCTAGGGTTTTACGCCAAATTACGTAAAATTTTAGTCGGAAGTGGTTTCATCTCACCCCATGGTTACTTTGTATCATGACAATTAATTGAGTTTGAAGGCGGCAAAATGTTTTTTTCGTGAAACATAACAACCTTTGACTCTACAATCTTTTAAGAACATTGCATAAATCTGGTAAATAACTTAGAACTGCCCTCTAAAATGAAATGAAAAACATTATCCATGTTACTTACATGCACTTATAATTTATTGAAAGTCAATCCAGTTAAATAAACGTTATTTATAATTTATAATGCTACTTGTGTGTTCAGTGTAGCATTTATGGACAAAGGCTAATGAAGATCCATGTGTCGCGTCGCTTTTCACCAACCACCATATAGTCATAAAACTAATTTTCACTTAAAAGACTTCAGCATTAGTTATTCGAAGATAATTCTTTCCACGTAGCATTTTTTTGTATCATATTATGCTACATGTTATAGTATTGTATGCATTACATAGTATTAAATTGCCTAGTACAGTTATGTTGATAGAGAATCGTTTTTCTCACTAGCTCTCGGTTTAACTTCGTCACTAATAATAACACTGATAATCGTCACTAAAAGACGATTTCGGAGTATTCGCTATGCCTAACCCATAACCTATTCCTTGAGTAAGATTTGCGATGTAGTAAACAAGATTTTTTTAAATACGTTATTCTGTGATTTTACATGCGTCAGCTTATCGCACATACTTAAAAACGAAAATCGTTTGTCGATCAAAGTTTTAAAGATTCTTCCGCTGATTCTAAAAAAAGGTTGCAATGACTGCAATTGATTGTGTATACTACAATTAATCCATCATAAAATTTGAAGCCTTTTTCGTTATCGGTTATACTGTTCAGTTGAACTTCTACAAGGTGATCAATAGTTACCAAAACAGTTTTATTTCGTTCAAATATTATAAATTGTTGAAATAAATTCAAACAAACAATGAACATCAAAACACAACTCTACAAATACCTTATGTAAAAATTATCGTTTCAAAACCATGACAAACCTAAAAGCGCGTTTGATCCATGCCCCTGTTTGGGCCGACAAATCAATCTTTCGAAAAAAATCAAGTTCTTATAATTTATGAAAACGCACCTGCTGATGACAAGCTCTGTCGTATTGTTTCCTTCCTTCACATAAGTTCTAGCACTCGTCACACCGTCGCCTATATTGATTCGACTCATCTTATAGTTTTTAATTATTTACCCGAAACTTCCTTGTATCTTTTCTTTCATCCAACACTGTCGTCGATATGCGCCAAGTTACGAGCACACACACTAAAATCCGGAAACAAGTTTCTAACTGATTGAAAGAAAGCTGTGAGCTTGATATGTAGCAACCGAATCCAGTCGCTATGGTATACGCAAAGCCCACTAAAAATATCAATGGAATATATGTACAGTTGAGTAATATTACAGAATATAAACGGAAGGGCTATCCACAGGAAGATGATTGTTCATGATTGTTTTGTTGAAAAGGAAACAAAACTTAACACATTGGGTTATTTTGGAAAGACTAATCTGTCAATTGAATATGTGTTGATTAATGAATCATGCGAATGCAAAGATGGCGTGGCGAATAATTTCTAAAAATGCAACCAAAAACTATAGGGTATACCGTAAGTGGAGAAAATTCAATTTGTTTAACTCAACATAAAACGAAAATAAAGTATTATATTTGTGTCCAAAAATGCCTCGTTAGCGTAATGTCATAGACAAAAAAAATAAATATAGACTGTTATCCGTGCAGCGGTTACCATAGGTTCTGGCGCACACCGCTGGGAGCGCCGTGTGGTTATGTAGCGCGTACGCTATAGGCTATAACTACATGGTGCTCCCAGCAGTGTGCGCCAGAACCTATGGTAACCACAGCACGGCTGACGGTCTTTTATTTAATTATTTTTGTCTGTAATATCCGTTGTCTTTTAAAATATTTTAAAAACAATTTGAGATACATTTTTTTGCAATCTATACTTGTAAAAGTCAAATACCATTCACTGGCTCACTGATCACTGTATCTTAAAAACTGCAAGCCATAAGAACTCAAGAATTGGCATGGAGATTTTGATTAGGATATAGGTGCGCAATAAGAAGATTTTTCAAGAAATTCCATCAGGGCTCTGCCCCAGTGGCCTCTAAAGTTCCTATGTTCCTTATGGAGAAATGATTTGTTTACATTTGAAGAGATGAATATTTTTGAATTTTATACTATGCTATGAACTAAAAGAACAGCTGGTGGTATTTATTTAATTGAAATGAAAACATTTGCATTATTTTGTGGCCTGAAAATTAATATTGGTGTTTAGTTTAACGGCATAACACTTTGTAATCGTTAAATGAATTTAAATATCAAGATTTACTCTATTCGTTGTTGTTTTTTAAGATCAGTTTCTCAGCAACTATATATCAGTAGGTATAGTGTTTAATGTGTTCAGAATATCAATGTCAAAGGAACGATTATTTTCAATCGAGTTTAACCTAATTAAAGGGATGGCATCTGCCTTCTTCTACCACTTGGCTACTTTATGTTCACTTTTTATTATGGGTGCTCAAGAGAGAAGATCAGAAGTACTTGGTAAGTTCAATCACTTCCATCCCTAGGCTAATAAAAATGGCACAATCATACAATTTCAGATGAGTATGTTGCTTTACAATCTCTGTTCACGTTTTTGGTGGCTAATGTAAAAACTAATATCTTTTTATGTTTTTTTCGTAACTAGAAATTCATACTTTGAAGATCTGAAAATATCTATTATTTTTAATTAAATTTAAGGGACAACGTTCATTTGCTTTAAATATTAACGAAAGTAAATAAAAAAAGTCTTATAACACTAAAAACATATATTTGCGCTTATAATGTTACTCACAAGACGGTAAATATACAAAAAAGATGGTAAGTGGTGATCGATTTCGATTGGACACTCTAATCATCATCAGACCCAATAGGCGAATGATAACATATAAATAACACGTACAATGCTGATCAAGAAGTTATTTAACATATTGCAAGTATAACGAATATAAAGCGAATAATGAAGCTTATCGTAGTTTTTTTTTTATAATTATTTAGCAAATATTACAAAGCACTCAAATATGTTGTCTTAGAATTTGTATTGATGGTTTTAACTCGATAGTCTTAATTGAGAGCCGTAACACTACTGTCTTTGAGCGTAATGGTATCTCAACACAATATGTTTTCATGATAACTAACCACATATTTTTGTTTGGAGTTTGGATTGTGTTTATATGTTTGGTTATGGTAAATTATTTTAATTCACTTGTTAGCAAATTAAATTGTATTTATTTGTTACAAGTATTTTCAACTGTTTAACGTATTGTAAAAAATATGTTATATATAAAAAAATCTCGAATAACCACCCGAGTTAGAATTCATGTTGTCTTAGATAGTTATCACACACATTTTACTGGGAACCAACCTTTTTATCCCATAAAACCTCCCTTAAACCTACACTAACCTGCGCTCCATGGTCTCTGCTGCTGGGTACTGCAACGCCGGCGGCCACTAGGTACTACTAGGGCACCGGATCGCTCACTAGGTCATCCGTTATCCGGTAACCGGTCCTGTCTCCCACACCGTCATCCGGTCATCCGGCGCCGATCTCCCGTAAACATTCGTCCAAACCATAAACCCAATTTAGTAATTTATGAGTGAAAGGGGTAAACTGTATCTCGGGCAGAACTCTTGACTTAATCGATCATTTATAGATTCAAGATGGTCAGAATTTATCCGTACAGAAATTCATTACGGATTTTTCTGTCACAAAACTGTTAAGTGTATGGAGTCAAAATTTAAATTTTTCACTTAAAACGTCACTATTGTCAACTCCATTGCTATTGTGTTTTAAACTCCATTGTTGTTGTGTTTTAAACTACATTGCTGTTGTTGTGTTTTTAACTCCATTGCTATTGTTGTATTTTTAACTCCATTGCTATTGTTGTGTCTTGAACTCCATTGCTATTGTTGTGTCTTGAACTCCCTTGCTGTAGTTGTGTTTTAAACTCCATCTCTGTTGTTGTGTCTTGAACTCCCTTGCTGTAGTTGTGTTTTAAACTTCATTGCTATTGTTGTGTTTTAAACTCCATCGCTGTAGTTGTGTTATAAACTCCATTGCTGTTGTTGTGTTTTAAACTCCATTGCTGTTGTTGTGTTTTAAACTCCATCTCTGTTGTTGTGTCTTGAACTCCCTTGCTGTAGTTGTGTTTTAAACTCCATCGCTGTTGTTGTGTTTTAAACTCCATTGCTGTTGTTGTGTTTTAAACTCCATTGCTGTTGTTGTGTTTTAAACTTCATCGCTGTTGTTGTGTTTTAAACTCCATTGCTGTTGTTGTGTTTTAAACTCCATTGCTGTTGTTGTGTTTTAAACCCCATCTCTGTTGTTGTGTTTTGAACTCCCTTGCTGTTGTTGTGTTTGAAATTATTACCGTGAATCGGTTAGCTAGGTAGTTAAACTAAAGTTTCGCCTAATTATACGAGGAAAATATTTGCAACAAC